CAAAAGAATAAACGAGTGGTATTCCTGGGACATAATGATTAGAAATAAGCGCTCCAGATGATTATTTACCGTCTCATTGAAGCATTTTTTTCACGCAAATCAAGTTGAAGGAAACATTGACCATATCCGAAGAAGGGTAGAAATGCTGCAGGATCCAATCCATTTTTCATCCGTTTGTCGCGATTGATGATTTGTGGTACTTTAGCGAATGAGTTATTTCCAGTACGAGTAAAAGACGAGAAATATTATTTTGAAATCAATTTCAAACATGTGCGACAATGTTATGCCTTGTAAATTTTATTGCGAGTTATTTAAATTACAAAAAAAGACAAGTGAACTTTTTAACATTATTCCAAATAATGGTACCATTTAGAATTAAACTCTCTTTCCACGACGGGGGAACACGCAGACAGCGACGATCAACGCGAAGAGAACGAATGCGGCAATAGCAATGATCATGTCGATCAACAGATCTCCGGATGTCGGCATCTCCCACATCGAGTTGGAGGTCGCGTACATTAAAGGCTCGTTTTTGAAGATGTCGTAGATATCCATTCGAACCGGCGCTGAAAAAAAGAAATCGAAATTTAGAATAAAATGTGATATCTTACTAGAGGAGCACAGGCCGGCGATGAGGAAGAAAATAACGGCAGTAAGCTTCATACTGCTTGCTGAGACAATAAAAGACGCTGACAAGTCGTATTTTATACAGAAAAAGGAAGCTCCACCCCGTAATGGGCGGAGCCTTGCTACCGCTAGACGTGTTATTGTCTGTAATAAAAAACAATAATATTTATTAAGATCGAGAATAACAATATGACTTTTCGTGGTAAATAAATCTATAGTCTATCTAGATTTTTTCGAATAAGTTTATTATTGAAGTAAAAAACAACTCAAAAATTAATATAATTTAAAGATTTTCGGTTTGCAATAAATTAGGCCCAAAAAATGTGGTTTGGCTATAGATTTGTTAGTTCCAGCTATATTTGGTTAAGACGAATTCGAACTTCAGAAAAATCTGAAAGACAAAATAAAAATAAAAAAAACATCACTCCATTAAATACTGAACCCATGGATACTGTCTACAGAAATATTTTTGTTATTCCCGAACTTCATAAATATTATTATTTTTTAATTACGCGATAGACAATAACACGTCTGTCGGTAACAAGGCACCGCCAATTACGGTAGACGTCTGCAACGTCTTGTTTGTCGAAACAAACAACATGAAGCTCACTACAGCAAAAACAACTGTGAGAACTGTCTACAGCTTCTGTCTGCAATTTTAATTTAATTAAAATTCAATTAACGTAATTCTGGACAAATTGATGTACAAAATATATATTAATCCCGGATATCATTTTTGTTCTTTCGCTTTTTATCATCATGTCCCAAGAAGTCGATCCAGATACCCATGTATATAAACTGTCACATTATTTTATCTTCAAGTTCTTATACAGCAAGGCAGCTCAGTAAAAAAACAAACCTTAAAACATTAATTTTTGAAGTTTCTATATTTTTTACATTTTTTTTCAAAAAAAAAATTTGATAGACTTATTTATCATAAAAATCTTATTGTTATTTCCGATGATCAAAAATATTTTTGTTTTTTTTTTCAATATGTGATAGACAATAACACGTCTGGCGGTAGCAAGGCTCCGCCCATTACGGGGTGGAGCTCCCTTTTTCTGTATAAAAGACGATTTGAAAGCTTCTTTAGTTGTCTCAGCAAGCAGTATGAAGCTTACTGCCGTTATTTTCTTCGCCATCGTCGGATTCTGCTCCTCTAGTAAGACATCAAATTTTTTTCTGAATTTCAATTTTCTTTTCAGCGTCCATTCAAGAGGATGATATCTACGAAGATTTCGAGCCATTTTTATATACGACTACTTCCAGCCCAATGTGGGAGATGCCGAATTCCGGATGTTTGTGGGTCGGCATGGTCGTTGCCATTGCCGCATTCGTTCTCTTCGCGTTGATCGTCGCTGTCTGCGTGTTTCCCCGTCGTGGAAGTCGAGTTGAATTCTAAATTGTACAATTATTTGGAATAATTTTGTTAAAAAGTTCACTTGTCTTTTTCTCGTGTTGAAAATAAATTTGCTTAATCTCTTGAAGGCATAATCTCAGTTACCCCAAACAGCCCAGACTTGCAGCTACTAGTGACCAATCCTCGATAGTGTTATCGATGTCGATCCAGATACCCAGGTTTCGTGCGATAAAGACTGCTTAACATCAGTTTAAAACGGATTTTCAAGGTAAATTATTCGAATTCGTTTTGAAAAATTCGAGGCGTATTAGTTATTTGCCTACGATCCTGATTCCTTCGTGGTCAATTTATTGAAAACCGCAAGTCTAAAAATATGAAATTAAAAAAAAAATTGTTTTCCATTAACACTCTATTCGAAAAAATCTTGATAGACTTATTTAACATGAAAATTCTTATTGTTATTCCCAAACTTCATAAATATTATTATTTTTCAATTACGTGAAAAATAATAACACGCCTCGCGGTAGCAAAGCAGCACCAGTTACGGTAGACGTCTGGCAAACAGGCTATTTAGAAACTCCTCTGAAGAACCTATCACTGATCCTTTATTTTTGTTATTTTCGATCTTGATAAATATTATTGTTTATTTTCATTACGCAGTAGACAATAACACGTCTGGCGGTAGCAAGGCTCCGCCCATTACGGGGGTGGAGCCCCCTATTCCTGTATAAAAGACGATTTGAAAGCTTCTGTCGTTGTCTCAGCAAGCAATATGAAGCTTACTGCCGTTATTTTCTTCCTCATCGCCGGCCTCTGCTCCTCTAGTAAGACATCACATTTTCTTCTGAATTTCAATTTCTTTTTTTTTCCAGCGCCGGTTCGAATGGATATCTACGACATCTTCAAAAATAAGCCTTTAATGTACGCGACCTCCAACTCGATGTGGGAGATGCCGAATTCCGGAGATTTGTTGGTCGGCATGGTCGTTGCCATTGCCGCATTCGTTCTCTTCGCGTTGATCGTCGCTGTCTTCGTGTTCCCCCGTCGTGGAAAGCGAGTTGAATTCTAAATGGTACCATCGTTTATTTGGAATTATTTTGTTAATAAGTTCACTTGTGTTTTTTTCGTGCTGAAAATAAATTTCTAAAACGCGCTAAATCTCTAGAACGCATAACTTCAAGGCTTATGATGAAAATGGATTCAGAGGAGCCTACGATGAAAAGTGAATTGAAACCTGAATCTTTTCTTGCCTTCATATCTTTCTCCCGATCATTCTGCTCGTTTCTATTCTTTGGTCCAGCTGTAGTTGTGTAAGCCATCGACGTCGATGCATAAAATTTTTTGTAATTAGCTACAGTTTTTCTATGTATGAGATAGCCCATCAAGCAGTTGTCTTCACAACGAGACAGCATCTTTACCATTTCGTTAAAAGGTATACTTATTAGAAACCTTTTGCTGAGAGCTTCGAGAAAAATCGTCATTCCTGTATGGCGCGAAAACCTGTGAAGCTTTGAAGAAGATCACGCAAACTTCAACAACGAAGAAAATTTCAAATGTGGGCCACGAAACGATGATTTGTGGCACGTCATCATGTAAGAATTTCGTTCACGTCAATTAAGTGGAAGGAAACATTGACCATATCCGAAGAAGGGTAGGAATGCTGCAGGCACCAATCCACGTTTCATCCTAGGTCCTCCTGTATCGATTCCATCCGTTTGTCGCGAATTGATGATTTGCTGGACAAAACAAGAGAACCGAGCGGACTCAACGGGAGAAGATAAGAAGGCAAGAAATTCAGCAGGCTCCAATTCACTTTTCTATCGTAGGCTCGCCTAAATCCATTTCCACCATGAGCTGGGAAATTGTGCTTCTAGAAATTCAGCGCGTTTTAGAAATTTATTTTCAGCACGATAAAAAGACAAGTGAACTTTTTAACATTATTCCAAATAATGGTACCATTTAGAATTAGACTCGCTTTCCACGACGGGGGAACACGCAGACAGCGACGATCAACGCGAAGAGAACGAATGCGGCAATGGCAATGATCATGTCGATCAACAGATCTCCGGAAGTCGGCATCTCCCACATCGAGCTGGAAGTCGCGTACATTAAAGGCTCGTTTTTAAAGATGTCGTAGATATCCATTCGAACCGGCGCTGAAAAAAAAAGAATTTGAAACTCAGAAGAAAATGTGATGTCTTACTAGAGGAGCAGAGGCCGGCGATGACGAAGAAAATAACGGCAGTAAGCTTCATATTGCTTGCTGAGACAATGAAAGAAGCTTACAAATCGTAATTTATACTGAAAAAGGGAGCTCCACCCCCGTAATGGGCGGAGCCTTGCTACCGCCAGACGTGTTATTGTCTATCACATATTGAAGAAAAAACAATAATATTTATCAAGATCGAGAATAACAAAAAAGGATCGGCGGTAGTGTGAGAAGTTTCTCTGTATCCTGTTTTTCATAAGTCTACCGTAATTGGTGGTGCTTTGCTACCGCCAGGCGTGTTATTGTTTATCACGTAATTAAAAAATAATAATATTTATGAAGTTCGGGAACAACAAAAATATTTCTGCAGGCAGCTGCTTGGTCATTTTCAATGGTGGTAAAGAAAGCAGTTACGAGAACTTATAGAAGCTGAGCTGACGCTGGCGTTTTCCGGAATTTCTCTTAGCTGTTGGATAGCATTTATGTTAAGTCAGACGAAACGTATCGTACAAATGTCATTCCTGTCTCAATTCTCAACGAAATAAACTGAAAAGGAAAGCTCGCATGGACAACCAACGCTGGATCAAAAAGAGAACCGAGTAGTAAGTTTGGGAGAGGCTAAGAAGGCTAGGAATGCTGAAGGCTCCAATACACTTTTCATCATAGATTCTCCTGAATTGATTTTCACCATGAGCCGGGGAAATAATGCCTTCAAGAGATTTCGCGTGTTTTAGAAATTTATTCTCAGCATGATAAAAAGACAAGTGAACTTTTTAACAAAATTATTCCAAATAATGGTACCATTTAGAATTCGACTCGCTTTCCACGACGGGGGAACACGAAGACAGCGACGATCAACGCGAAGAGAACAAATGCGGCAATGGCAACGACCATGCCGACCCACAAATATCCGGAATTCGGCATCTCCCACATCGGGCTGGAAGTAGTCGCGTACGCGAATGGCTCATCTTCGAAGTCGTAGTAGATATCCTCTTGAATGGACGCTGAAAAAAAAATTGAAATTCAGAAAAAAAAGTTGATTTCTTACTCGAGGAGCAGAAGCCGACGATGACGAAGAAAATAACGGCAGTAAGCTTCATACTGCTTGCTGAGACAATGAAAGATGCTTTCTAATCGTCTTTTATACAGGAATAGAGGGGCTCCACCCCCGCGTGTTATTGCCTACCACGTAATGAAAAAAAAACAATAATATTTTTGATCATCGATAAACAATAAGATTTTTCATGGTAAATAAGTCTATCAAGATTTTTTCAAAAAAAAAATGTATTAAAAATTGATAATTTCGACTTACTCAACCAAATATCTAACAGCCTGCTTCGGGTGTGAACGGGCTTTCAACCGCCACGACGCGTCTGTTTAATTTAAAAACTGACATGTTCAGAATTACTTTAATTGAATTTTAATTAAGTTAAAGTTGCAGACCGAAGCTGTAGACAGTTTTCACGGTTGTTTATGGTGTAGTGAGCCTCATGTTGTTTGTTTACAATCAAGGCGTTGCAAACGTCTACCGTAATTGGTGGTGCTTTGCTACCGACAGGCGTGTTATTGTCTATCGCGTAATTAAAAAATAATAATATTTATGAAGATCGGGAATAACAAAAATATTTCTGGAGACAGTTTCCATGGGTGTTTATAATGTAGTCAAATTTACTACCGAGAAATATTTCCGAGCAAACAGCCGCGTCACTTCGGCATTATTATTGTTTTTTTAATTGCAATCGGTCTTCCAAATTTTTCTGTAGTTCGAATTCGTCTTATCCAAATATGGCTGAATCATTGATAATCTACCGCTGTTCCTCATTCCTTGTGGTCAACTTAATAAAATGCGTAAATCTTAAGACATATAAATTGTGGAATCATTTTTACTTCATCAATACATTTATTCGAAAAAATCTTGGCAGACTAATTTGCCATGAAAAGTCGTATTGTTATTTTTGATCTTGATAAATATTATTGTTTTTTTCAATATGTGATAGACAATAACACGTCTGGCGGTAGCAAGGCTCCGCCCATTACGGGGGTGGAGCTCCCTATTCCTGTATAAAAGACGATTTGAAAGCTTCTGTCGTTGTCTCAGCAAGCAGTATGAAGCTTACTGCCGTTATTTTCTTCGTCATCGCCGGCCTCTGCTCCTCTAGTAAGATATCACATTTTATTCTAAATTTCAGTTTCTTTTTTTCAGCGCCGGTTCGAATGGATATCTACGACATCTTTAAAAACGAGCCTTTAATGTACGCGACTTCCAGCTCGATGTGGGAGATGCCGACTTCCGGAGATCTGTTGATCGACATGATCATTGCTATTGCCGCATTCGTTCTCTTCGCGTTGATCGTCGCTGTCTTCGTGTTCCCCCGTCGTGGAAAGCGAGTCTAATTCTAAATGGTACCATTATTTGGAATAATGTTAAAACGTTCACTTGTCTTTTTATCGTGCTGAAAATAAATTTCTAAAACGCGCTGAATTTCTAGAAGCACAATTTCCCAGCTCATGGTGGAAATGGATTTAGGCGAGCCTACGATAGAAAAGTGAATTGGAGCCTGCTGAATTTCTTGCCTTCTTATCTTCTCCCGTTGAGTCCGCTCGGTTCTCTTGTTTTGTCCAGCAAATCATCAATTCGCGACAAACGGATGGAATCGATACAGGAGGACCTAGGATGAAACGTGGATTGGAGCCTGCAGCATTCCTACCCTTCTTCGGATATGGTCAATGTTTCCTTCCACCTAATTGACGTGAACGAAATTTTTACATGATGACGTGCCACAAATCAACGTTTCGTGGCCCACATTTGAAATTTTCTTCGTTGTTGAGGTTTGCGTGATCTTCTTCAAAGCTTCATAGGTTTTCGCGCCATACAGGAATGACGATTTTTCTCGAAGCTCTCGTTGCTATTATTCTTGGAATTCTTTCGTGAAAACTGAAAATGTTATTGATAGTATTACTGTTTTTTTGCTGACTATATCACCAACAACTATGCGATCTGTCCACAGCAACGGTCTCCAGAAATATTTTTGTTATTCCCGGAAAAAAAATCATAAACATGTTTGGAAATAGTTGTTCGTTGTCTCAAAACTCATTTCTTTGAAATATATTTCCTACTGTAAATTCAAACCGTGGCACAGCATTCATAATTAAATTATTTTTACTGTTATTGTTTTTCTCACAGCAACGGTCTCCAGAAAAATTTTTGTTATTCCCGAAATATTATTATTTTTTAATTAGTGTTTGTCAATAACATGTTTGGCGGTAGCAAGGCACCACCAGTTACGGTAGACGTCTGGCAAACAGGCTATTTAGAAACTCCTCTGAAGAACCTACCAGTGATCCTTTATTTTTGTTATTCTCGATCTTGATAAATATTATTGTTTATTTTCATTACGCAGTAGACGATAACACGTCTGGCGGTAGTAAGGCACCAAGAATTACGGTAGACGTCTGACAATCAGGCGATTTAGAAACTCATTGAGTGGTGTCTATACAAGCAACAAGCAGCTTACTATGGCATATGCAACCGTGAGAACTGTCTGCAGCTTCTATTTGCCATTTTTACTTTATTTAAATTAGATCGATGTTTTTCTGTAGAAATTGAAGGGTAGGTAAGAGAAACATATCTGATGCATTTTGTACGACCTCACCAACCATCAAGGTTTTGTGCGACCAAGTTTTATCAAAAACTGTCGGATTTTGCTCCTGTTGTTGCGAAATCTAATAAATTGATGGACCTAATTAATTAAAAAAAAAAAACGTAAAAATTTCAAAATCCAAATAGTTTTCTCTCTTCTGGGTATCAAATAATAGACTATGTTAATGGATGTTTTCAAAAATGGAAATTTTTAGATAACTTTATTAGAACAATCGTAATAATCAGAAAATTGAATTTCATGTGTTAAATTATGAAATTTGAGTTTGAAAATATTCTAATAAACATACCTTTTCCGAATTGGGCTTAGAGTTAAAAATTGTGTCTTGCTGTGAAGACAATCGCTCGATGGCTATCTCTATACATAGAAAAAATTCACTTTTCATCGTAGGCTCCTCTGAATCCATTTTCACCATGAGACGGGAAATTATGCTTTCTTGAGATTTAGCGCGTTTTAGAAATTTATTTTTAGGACGAGAAAAAGACAAGTTAACTTATTAACAATATAATTCCAAATCAAAGATGGTACCATTTAGAATTCAACTCGACTTCCACGACGAGGGAACACGCAGACAGCGACGATCAACGCGGAGAGAACGAATGCGGCAATGGCAAGGACCATGCCGACCCACAAATATACGGAAGACGGCATCTCCCACATCGGGCTGGAAGTAGTCGTATATAAAAATGGCTCGAAATCTTCGTAGATATCATCCTCTTGAATGGACGCTGAAAAGAAAATTGAAATTCAGAAAAAAAAATTGTCTTACTAGATGAGCAGAGGCCGACGATGACGAAGAAAATAACGGTAGTAAGCTTCATAATGCTTGTTGAGACAATTTATGAAGCTTTATAATCGTCTTTTATACAAAAATAGGGAGCTCCACTTCCGTAAGGGGCGGAGCCTTGCTACCGCCAGGCGTGTTATTGTCTACCCCATATGGAAGAGAAAAACAATAATATTTATGAAGATCGAGAATAACAATAAGATTTTTCATGCTAAATAAGTCAATCAACATTTTTTCGAATAGATGTGTTAATGAAAAACAATTTTTTTTAAATTTCATATGTATTATATATTGTCTTTATTCAACGAAACTTGGGTATCTGGATCGACATCGATAACACTATCGAGGATTGGTCACTAGTAGCTGCAAGTCTGGGCTGTTTGGGGTAACTGCTCAAAACTGTTAAATAGCGTTGACGTAAATCCCACTTATTCAACAAATCGTGACACTTCCCACGACGTATGAAGTAGAATCTTGTGAAACATTGAACAGTAGTTCTACCACATTCCAACAAGCATTCAACAGCATCCGCTCAGCTGAGGTTATTCATTACGAAACCTTCAACTCATCTTCGGCACTTATAAAAAAGATGAAATGAGGCGAACACATTGTTCTCATGCACAACCAACGCTAGACGAAAAAATAACCATCTGATAATATTGTTATATGATGATTAGAAACGACCGTCCGAAAATTATGTGCGGGGTTAGTAGATATTTCGGGAAATTCCGGGAAATTATGCCTTCAAGAGATTAAGCAAATTTATTTTCAGCACGAGAAAAAAACAAGTGAACTTATTAACAAAATTATTCCAAATTAAAGATGGTACCATTTAGAATTCAACTCGACTTCCACGACGGGGAAACACGCAGACAGCGACGATCAACGCGAAGAGAACGAATGCGGCAATGGCAACGACCATGTCGATCAACAAATCTCCGGAAGACGGCATCTCCCACATCGGGCTGGAAGTAGTCGTATATAAAAATGGCTCGAAATCTTCGTAGATATCATCCTCTTGAATGGACGCTGAAAAGAAAATTGAAATTCAAAAAAAAAATGTGATGTCTTACTAGAGGAGCTGAAGCCGACGATGAAGAAGAAAATAACGGCAGTAAGCTTCATATTGCTTGCTGAGACAATGAAAGATGCTTTCTAATCGTCTTTTATACAGGAATAATGGGGCTCCACCCCCGTAATGGGCGGAGCCATGCTACCGCCAGACGTGTTATTGTCTATCACATATTGAAAAAAAAAACAAAAATATTTTTGATCATCGGAAATAACAATAAGATTTTTATGATAAATAAGTCTATCAAATTTGTTTTTGAAAAAAATTTAAAAAATATAGAAACTTCAAAAATTAATGTTTAAGGTTTGTTTTTTTATTGAGCTGCCTATATCTTCTTCATAAAAACGTGAAGATAAAATAATGTGACAGTTTATATACATGGGTATCTGGATCGACTTTTTGGGACATGATGATAAAAACGAAAGAACAAAAATGATATCCGGGATTAATATATATTTTGTACATCAATTTGTCCAGAATTACGTCAATTGATTTTTAATTAAATAAAAATTGCAGACAGAAGCTGTAGACAGTTCTCACAGTTGTTTTTGATGTAGTGAGCTTCATGTTGTTTGTTTCGACAAACAAGACGTTGCAGACGTCTACCGTAATTGGCGGTGCCTTGTTACCGACAGACGTGTTATTGTCTATCACAATATTAAAAATAATAATATTTATGAAGATCGGGAATAACAAAAATATTTTTGGAGACAGTGTCTAGACAGTTTCCATGGGTTCAGTATTCAATGAATTGATGTTTTAAAGAATCTACAGCCAAACTTTATTTTTTGGGCCTTAATTGAAAACCGAAAATCTTAAAATTATATTAACTTTTGAATTATTTTTTTACTTTGTCAATAAATTTATTCGAAAAAATCTACATAGACTAAAGACTTATTTACCATGAAAAATCTAATTGTTATTCTCGACCTTGATTAATATTATTGTTTTTTGTTTACAGACTTCTGGCGGTAGCAAGGCTCCGCCCATTACGGGGGTGGAGCTTCCTTTTTCTGTATAAAATACGATTTGTAAGCGTCTTTCATTGTCTCAGCAAGCAATATGAAGTTTACTGCCGTTATTTTCTTCCTCATCGTCGGCCTCTGCTCCTCTAGTAAGATATCACATTTTCTTCTGAATTTCAATTTCAATTTTTTCCAGCGCCGGTTCGAATGGATATCTACGACATCTTCAAAAATGAGCCTTTAATGTACGCGACCTCCAGCCCGATGTGGGAGATGCCGAATTCCGGAGATTTGTTGGTCGGCATGGTCGTTGCCATTGCCGCATTCGTTCTCTTCGCGTTGATCGTCGCTGTCTTCGTGTTCCCCCGTCGTGGAAAGCGAGTCGAATTCTAAATGGTACCATCTTTTATTTGGAATTATATTGTTAATAATTTCACTTGTCTTTTTTTGTAATTTAAATAACTCTTCACAATAAAATACACAAGGCATAATATTGCGGCACATGTTTGAAATCGATTTCGGCGGACGTAGAAAGTGGAGCCCGCAGCATTCCGAGCCTTCTTCAGACATTGCCAATGTTTTCTTGAGCATATTTGTCATGAAAGAAATGCTTCTATGAGATGGTAATTAATCCCGGACGTCATATTCGAACCTCTTTTCTTATCATGTTTCAAGAATACCTTGGCTATTCTTTTAGTCTAGCATTGGTACTCCACGAGATCGATGTGTTCGGATGTGTGTGTTGAAGGTCATAATAAATCACTTTATCTGAGATGATACTATTGCGTCATGGCATTCTTCAGCACGCTTTTCGTTTTATTCAGTTCCAAGAATACCACTCGGTTATTCATTTGATTCTTTTGGTCTGGCGTTGGTTGTCTACGCGATGAACATCTTTGGCCCATTCCAGTTTATTTGGCCAGTATGAAAAATGATTGTCCGATTCTCGTATGGGACAAATAATTACTGCACCCATCAGAACATTGAGGTGTAAAAAGACCGATAACTCCTAGAAAATATCTTTTAATTAGAAGAGTCATAAATAAACTTATTTTTCGTCCTTATAGCAATTATGACAAGGGTTTATGTTCGTTTTCTTTTTTACATGGCACCAAACTAACGGAAAAAGTTTTATTGCAAACATTAATGATTTCATTTAGAAGCTGATTCAATTTCTTTGATGAAACAGCGAGTAGAGGACCAAAAACATTGTGATGACATAAATCATTGCAAGCATCAAATCGTCTTCGGTATTTGGAAGTGCTGTTGTCATTCTAATTCGAAAAGTTTTTGCCGATTCAGAAGTATTTGTGAACATCATTGAAGCTACTGTAATGATATCGTGGGTATCCAATCGTGTTTTCGGAGTAGGCTCTAAAAATGAAAAAATAAATAAATTGGAAATGGTTTTCATTATCATATTGGAGGAGACGGAGAAGGAAATGATGGCGGTGAGCTTCATGTTGTTTGTTAAGACAAGCAAGGAGTTTCTAAGCAGTCTGTTTATCATACGTCTACCGTAATTGGTGGTGCTTTGCTACCGCCAGGCGTGTTATTGTTTATCACGTAATTGAAAAATAATAATATTTTTGAAGTTCGGGAAAAACAAAAATATTTCTGGATACAGTTGCTGTAAACAGATCTCATGGCTGTTTGTGATGTAATCAACAAAACAGTGATTATAATTATATCATCCATGCTATTCTTTGGCATTAATTTACTGTAGAAGAAATATTTGAAAGATATAAGACTCAAAAATAATGGCAATAAAAGAGTTTTGAAAATTCGTAGAAGTAGAATTAGCTGGGCCAATTTCCGGAGCTGTTTTATAGCGTTCATACCAAGACCAAGAAGAAATTGTTTTTAAAAATCGTTATTCCTGTCACACCTTATCGCGCGGAAGGCTGTGAAACTTAAAAGAAGAGCTCAATCAGACTTTAACTCGAACTCAATATAATCAGCTGGGATGCGTGGGTCCATTCGAAAGTGTCATCAACATATCTTTGATTCTCGACAAAAAGCTGACAAGGACCGGAAAAGGATCCAAGTCACTTTTTTACCGTAAGCCCACTCAAATCAATTTCAAACATGTGCCGCAATATTATGCCTTGTAAATTTTATTGCGAGTTATTTAAATTACAAAAAAAGACAAGTGAAATTATTAACAATATAATTCCAAATAAAAGATGGTACCATTTAGAATTCGACTCGCTTTCCACGACGGGGGAACACGCAGACAGCGACGATCAACGCGAAGAGAACGAATGCGGCAATGGCAACGACCATGCCGACCAACAAATCTCCGGAATTCGGCATCTCCCACATCGAGCTGGAAGTCGCGTACATTAAAGGCTCGTTTTTGAAGATGTCGTAGATATCCATTCGAACCGGCGCTGGAAAAAAAAAGAAATTGAAATTCAGAAGAAAATGTGATGTCTTACTAGAGGAGCAGAGGCCGGCGATGAGGAAGAAAATAACGGCAGTAAACTTCATATTGCTTGCTGAGACAATGAAAGAAGCTTACAAATCGTATTTTATACAGAAAAAAGGGGGCTCCACCCCCGTAATGGGCGGAGCCTTACTACCGCCAGACGTGTTATTGTCTACCCCATATTGAAAAAAACAATAATATTTATCAAGATCGAGAATAACAAAAAAGGATCGGCGGTAGTTTGAGGAGTTTTTAAGTAGCATGTTTGTCATACGTCTACCGTAATTGGTGGTGCTTTGCTACCGCCAGGCGTGTTATTGTTTATCACGTAATTTAAAAATAATAATATTTTTGAAGTTCGGGAATAACAAAAATATTTCTGCATACAGCTGCTGTGGACAAATCTCATAGTTGTTTGTTTCATTTATCCATGCTGTGCCACGGTTTGAGTTTACAGTAGGAAAAATATTTTAAAGAAGTGAGTTTTGAGACGACCAACAGCTATTTCCAAACAAGATTATGGTTTCATGCTGAAATAATGCGCAAAAAGTGTTTAACTTGCTAGTTAATAATAATTTGTGGATGCACTCAGAATTGACCGAAAACAACGACAAGCTTGATTGTAACACTTTTAGATTAGAAGAATCTGTATAATCTAACTTGGTCATTTTCAATGACGATAAAGAAAGCAGTTACGAGAACTTATAGAAGTTGAGCTGACGCTGCCGCTTTCCGGAATTTCTCTTAGCTGTTGGATATCATTTATGTTAAGTCAGACGAAACGTATCGTACAAATGTCATTCCTGTCTCAATTCTCAACGAAATAAACTGAAAAGGAAAGCTCGCATGGACAACCAACGCTGGATCAAAAAGAGAACCGAGTAGTAAGTTTGGGAGAGGCTAAGAAGGCTAGGAATGCTGAAGGCTCCAATCCACGTGTCATCCTGAATCGATTCCATCCGTTTGCCGCAAATTGATGATTTGTGGTTCTTCAGCGCTATGGGTTATTTTCAGTAAGAGTAAAAGACCAGTGAGAACAAATTTATTCCAAATTACAGGGTGCGCCATAAATACGAAGCCGCTTTCAAAACGGTGTAAAAAGATTAGTTTCAAAGATTTTTTTCTGAGATTCAACCAAAATGTTTATTAAATTATAAGAAAGAAAGTAGCATTAACAGTTTTCGAATCTTTCGCATTTCGCCTTGATCACAGCTCGGAGTCTCTTCGGGTAGTTGTCGATGACGGCACGCAGGTAATTGTCGTCCAAATCGTCCCATGCATTCTCGAGTGCGATCATCAATGCTCCCAAATTAGGATAGTTTTACGTGGGAACCTTCTGGGTCAAATACCACACCGAGAAGTCCATAGGGTTCAAGTCCGGGCTGCTTGCTGGCCATTCCGCGGCTGTGATGAAATGGGGGAAATGAGTCGCGCACCACTGTTGAGTCGCTTTGGCACGGTGGGCAGGTGCCCCGTCTTGCTGGAACGTCCAATCCCGATTCCCAAAGTGAGATTGAGCCCATGAAGTACTGCCGATTCGAGAATCTTTTCCATGTAGTAATTGTAATTGATTTTGTCGCCCAGATCCACGAAAACCAGTGGTATCTTCCCATCAGAGCAGATACCTCCAAAAACCATCACTGAAGCCGAGTGGGAAGTTTTATTCAAAAATTTTCCCTTCTTGACATCTGTCTAGAAGTCCTTAGCAATGATTCTGTGGTTTTGGCCGTTCTTGTTGGCTTCCACAGCGAATATCTTCTCGTCAGTGAACAAAGTTTTCAAGTGCGTGCCTTGACGCGTGTCACGAAGAAGGGCTTGTGCTTTGGTCACACGAAGAGCTTTATTTTTCTCCGTAAGGAATGCTCCGTTTTGAAAACGATAAGGAATCATACGAAGCTTGTCTCTGACCACTCTTCTCATCGAATTTTCACTCATTCCAAGCTCCAGTGCCATCCTTCTCATGCTTCTTTCCGGATTCCTCCGAATGCGCTCCCTGATAACTTTCACCACCTTCGGAGTCGTCACAGTCAGTGGGCGTCCAAATCTCTGCTTGTCTTTCAAAGTACCAAGCTTTTTGAACCGATTGAGAGTTTTGTTCACCACCGATTTAGCCACACCGAGCTTCTGAACGATCTCTGCCGAACGCATTCCAAACTTCGATAACTCAACGATGGTAGCCCTGAACGGGGAAGCTGCTGTTATAACCTTAAAACGAATTATATCGAGCTGGAACTTAACAAACTAGGAAAACATAAAATAAACTTTAAAAAAAAATAATTGTGCGCAATTAAATGGGTACGGTAGGCTGCAGAGTTGACGCAAAGTTGCGGCTCCGTATTTATGGCGCACCCTGTAGAGATGGTACCATTTAGAATTCGATTCGCTTTCCACGACGGGGGAACACGAAGACAGCGACAATCAATGCGAAGAGAACAAAAGCGGCAATAGCAATGATCATGTCGATCAACAGATCTCCGGAAGTCGGCATCTCCCACATCGAGCTGGAAGTCGCGTACATTAGTGGCTCGTTTTTGAAGATGTCGTAGATATCCATTCGAACCGGCGCTGGAAAAAAAAGAAATTGAAATTCATAAGAAAATGTGATGTCTTACTAGAGGAGCAGAGGCCGACGATGACGAAGAAAATAACGGCAGTAAGCTTCATATTGCTTGCTGAGACAATGAAAGACGCTGACAAATCGTAATTTATACTGAAAAAGGGAGCTCCACCCCCGTAATGGGCGGAGCCTTGCTACCGTTAGACGTGTTATTGTCTATCACATGTTGAAAAAAACAATAATATTTATCAAGATCGAGAATAACAATATGATTTTTTATGGTAAATAAGTCTATTAAGTTTTTTTTCGAAAAAAATGTATTGAAAATTGATAATTTCGATTTACTCAACCAAATATCTAACAGCCTGCTTCGGGTGTGAACGGGCTTTCAACCGCCACGACGCGTCTGTTTAATTTAAAAACTGATCTGTTTAGAATTACTTTAATTTAATTTTAATTAAATTAAAATTTCAGACAGAAGCTGTAGACAGTTTTAACGGTTGTTTAGGATGTAGTGAGCTTCTTGTTATTTGTTTACAAACAAGGCGTTGCAGACGTCTACCGTAATTGGCGGTGTTTTGCTACCGACAGGCGTGTTATTGTCTATCGCGTAATTAAAAAATAATAATATTTATGAAGTTCGGGAATAACAAAAATATTTCTGAAGACAGTTGCTGTAAACAGATCTCATGATTGGGAATTATTGGCAAAGAAATGAGATTTTAGATCACCAACAACTATGTCCAAACAAAGTTATGATTAAAAAATGCGCTGGAATAATTTTTTAACTAGCTCTGTTGGAAGTTTTTGTAAATGCAATTGGTGTGGGCCAACCAGAACGACAAAGTTGGTCGTAACACTATTAGATTTGATGACAATGTATTATTAAGCTCTGCAATTTCCGGGAATAACAAAAATATTTCTGGAGACAGTGTGTTTAGAAATTGTTCATGGGTGTGATGTAGTCAGCAACAACAGTAATAATAATATTTACCATTATATGCATCGTGGCTTGCACGATGCATATAATGGTAAATGTATCATTGACGATGTTGACGAATACGTGTACCTTGGAAGACTACTCACCCCCAAAAACGAGCTAGTCAAGGAGATCTTCCGAAGGAGAAGAGCAGCTTGGGCAGCGTTTAATGGAATCAAGAACACCACCGATTTGATTTCCTGTAACAAAACCCGCCCACAGCTCTTCGATTCCATCGTTCTCACAGCGCTGACTTACGGATCAGAGACTTGGACCTTCACCAAAGCTCTTGCCGAGAGAGTCCGAATTAGTCACGCTGCGCTTGAGCGGAGATTGGTTGGCCTCACGTTATCACAACAACGTGAACATGATCTTCATCGAGAGGACATCCGCATTATGTCTAAAGTTCGGGACCCCCTACACCACATCACGAAGAGGAAGATGACCTGGGCTGGACACGTTGCTAGAAGAACAGATGGAAGATGGACTACTCTTCTAACGGAGTGGCGGCCGTGGAATTGGGCCCGGCCAAGAGGAAGGCCTCCCATGAGATGGTCGTACTCGCTTCGGAAGGAGATCACTACAAGAACAGCTGAAGGAGCCGTTATCACCCCCTGGTCCATCCAAGCCAAGGACCGAAAAACTTGGAAAGCTGTGGTTCGCGCCTCAACAGGCGAAGGACGAACCGACTAAGTGACTAAGTAAGTAAGTGACTAAGTGATTATATGCATCGTGGCTTATAGAAGTTTGAAGCCCATAACTTTAAACGTAATAATGCTTACAAAGGAGTTTTCTTTTTGGAAAAAACTTATCTTCAAAAACTATTTTCACAAGCTCCATTAACAATTTGTTCCTTGTGTTTCGTCGAATGCCTCAGTTTTGAATAGAAACGGCTCAATGAAGTCAAAAAAGTGCGATTCATTCCCAAAATTCACCGACGATGAATAATTCGATCATGTGATATCAGAAAGTAAAATTTAATGTAGATAATTAGTTATTCTTGCTCAGATCATCACTGTATCTCAATCTTTAACCGAAGCTTTTCCAACGAATTAATTTATGAATAGTATGTGTGAATTGCGAAGAATATTTGTCAATTGGTAGTGAGGAACTACTAAGACTGCCTAGAAAGTCTGTAATTCAGAAAATATTCTAAAAATAAAGACTGGAAAGTGGCAAACTTGCGGAAAATTTACAAAAAAAAAAGAAAAAATATATACAACACAGATTCTCACAGCATTTCATTATTCGCTTTCATTCTATTGGTCCTTTCCATTCACAGAACTCGTTTTCGTTCTTCTTATGCTCCTCATGATTGGCCGGCTCTTTCTCGCCTTCTTCAGCATTTTCACCTTCTTCCGCATCATTTTTTTCCAAGGTAGAAAACTTCTTGTAAACTATTCCATCGTCTTCAGAGAGATGATCACATGGCTCGTCGATGGCGATGTCCTCGTCTGAGAAGCTGGAGTCAGACGAGAGCTCAATAATTTCCTGTACATCTGTCTTTTTCTCATCCGATTTTGCGTCACGGCTCTTTATCAGTAATATCCTTAAAAGCACAAATTCTTTGTAAATTTTTCAGATTTATACTTCTCCATCCTTTGGTTCATCTTTTTTCTCTGATGTCTTCTTATCGTCTTTCTTTACCTTACCCTTCTACTAGTCGTCCTTCTCCTCATCCATTTCCCCATTTTCCTCTTCGAAAGACAAGTCAGTCAACGTGATCACCTGCAATTAGCAATTCAATAAGAAAACGCTTATAGGAATGTAACATAAAGCTTACCGGAATGTCTCTTTTCTCAGTTTAATTCTTTCTTTTTCTTTTTTTAAGAACCAAATTCCTTAAGAAAACATTTAAACATTAAAAAGCAAGTCGCCATTTCGAATTGGTGCTCAGCTTGAGCTCGAGCCACTCGACAAATTATTTTGTTTAACATGTAACTACTTGCGGATAACTAAAAAAACAAAGCGAAGATTGTTTATTTCTTTCAGAATCCATACGGTATTAGCGACAGTGATCTGGTTGGCAGATGATCCATTTGAACCATACTGGCCTTCCTCCGTTGGCGGTGTCGCACTGTTTAACTTCCTTTAATTAATAAGATTTGATACAAATTTCTATATTTTTTGGGTCAGATTCTTATAATAGGCGAAATACTGCAATGTCCTCAAATTAGACGCTTATTTAAAAAAAACAAGCTGCTGGCGTATAGACTTGGACGATAAGTCGAATAATGCATGAAAATTGAAGCCTAATAATTTTAAAAAATAATATCAGTGAAAATCTCATCACAATTCAGTTCTCATTGATTTTCAGACAAAATCATTTACGCCACGTTGTAAAGCATCAAATTCTGACCATTCACTTTTTTTGGATCATCGAATTTGATTCAGAAACAAAAAAGTTAGAGCTCTAATATAGCTCACCCCCACTCTGAAAATGCTCGAATTCTTATATGCGATTTCAGCCTTGGCGAAATGTGCCGGTGTGGTGTAGTGGTTAAAATGTGCGATCATTGATCGTGGATTGTGGACATCTACACCGGCACGTCCCAATGATGGATGAGTCCTCGGGCCAAGAGGTGGTAACGTGGCACACCAACATGTACATATGAAGCGAGAATCAAGAATCAAATTCGAAGGGGGACGACTGAGGGACCTTTTGCCTTTTTGGTCCCTCTTTATGTATACTGGGGGTCATGGGATCGAGTCCCCCTAGCGCAAAACTTTTTTGCGACTGTGAAAATTTAGGAAATGGTTGTTAATTGTGTCAGGAAGGCCCACAGCAAAATTTTAGGCCGAAAATGCATACGGGGGTCCTAGGGGGGTCCGAATTCGAAAATTTTGAAAATTTCAGAAAATCATCCTAGTGCTCTGGTATTTCAGGAAATGTTACTAAAACGTGTCAAAAGTGTTATAGGGGGGTCCTAGGGGGGTCCGAATTCGAAAATTTTGAAAATTTCAGAAAATCATCCTAGGGCTCTGGTATTTCAGGAAATGTTACTAAAACGTGTCAAAAGTGTTATAGGGGGGTCCTAGGGGGGTCCGAATTCGAAATTTTTGAAAATTTCAGAAAATCATCCTAGTGGTCCTTAAACGACGACATGTGAGCTGATATCAAATTTTGAGAATTTCAATGGCATTAGGCAAAACAATACCCAATTGAATATTGCGAAATAATCATGTTGAGCCGGTCTTTGGGTATTTTTTTTAATATTAAAAAAAATTTTCAAAAGCGGCAGAGTGGAAAGAAAATTATTGGATCCTCATCCGATTGAGCTATATAAGAGCTCTAACTTTTTGGTTTTCAAATCTGATGATCCAAAAAAGTTATTGATGAGGTTTTCAAGCTTTAGAATGTGGCGAAAGCAATTTTGTCTGAAAATCAGCGTAAACTAAATTTCGAGAAGTTTTTTACTGATTTGATTTTCTAGCTAATAAATAGTTAACAATTGCGTTCTTCACCGTATTTTGAACTTCAAGATGAACCCTAAACATTTTTAGGCCGTTTCTTCAGACTCCGAATGCTTGAAAAATCAATTTCGGTCGCATTTTTGCTTCCTGAGTGTTCCAAACTTGATTTGGACTGTTTAATTCTATTTCGGATTCAGAAAAATTCTTTTGGTTTTTTCAAATTTTTTTTCTGGGTCTTTTTTGTTTAAGTACAATTTCTCATATTTTCACGTGTGGAAAAAAAATTGCACAAGGGGGACTCGATCCCGCCACTCAAAGTGTACCAAAAAGCAAAAGGTCCCTCAGTCCCTCTTCGAAGCAGATTCTTGATTGTCGCTTTACATGCTGGTGTGCCACGTTACCACCTCTTTTCCCGTGGACTCATCCATCATTGGGACGTGCCACGAAATTTCGAATTCGGATCACGATAGGAGTCCCTTATAACTTTTGACACGTTTTAGTAACATTTCCTGAAATACCAGAGCACTAGGATGATTTTCTGAAATTTTCAAAATTTTCGAATTCGGACCCCCCTAGGACCCCCGTATGCATTTTCGGCCTAAAATTTTGCTGTGGGCCTTCCTGACACAATTAACAACCATTTCCTAAATTTTCACAGTCGCAAAAAAATTTTGCGCTAGGGGGACTCGATCCCATGACCCCCAGTATACATAAAGAGGGACCAAAAAGGCAAAAGGTCCCTCAGTCGTCCCCCTTCGAATTTGATTCTTGATTCTCGCTTCATATGTACATGTTGGTGTGCCACGTTACCACCTCTTGGCCCGAGGACTCATCCATCATTGGGACGTGCCGGTGTAGATGTCCACGATCCACGATCAATGATCGCACATTTTAACCACTACACCACACCGGCACATTTTGCCAAAGCTGAAATCGCATATAAGAATTCGAGAATTTTCAGAGTGGGTGTGAGCTATGTTAGAGCTCTAACTTTTTTGTTTCTGAATCAAATTCGATGATCCAAAAAAAGTGAATGGTCAGAATTTGATGCTTTACAACGTGGCGGAAATGATTTTGTCTGAAAATCAATGAGAACTGAATTGTGATGAGATTTTCGCTGATACAATTTTTTTTAATTATTAGGCTTCAATTTTCACGCATTATTCGACTTATCGTCCAAGTCTATACGCCAGCAGCTTGTTTTTTTTTTAATAAGCGTCTAATTTGAGGACATTGCAGTATTTCGCCTATAATAAGAATCTGACATAAAAATATAGAAATTTGTATCAAATTTCAATAAACTTTACTCTAAATACTTCCGAACTTCAATTCCTTGACACATTGTTTCATTTTGATATGACTTTTAACAGTCTCCGTATTGAAATTGCCAATCAATATGATATTGGCGCGATTTGCTCGCGGTACATAGACTGAATTGTTTCACCACCTGTGCTCTCTCGTCTCGACGCACTCTCTTTCAAAACAAACAAATCAACGTGTTTTTAGATTGTTTTCATCATGATGGTTATCATATAATTTAATTTATTCGTTTTGGTTTTCACAGAAATCATTTTTTGAGGTTGTTCTCATTTTTTATTTTTCCTTGAAATATTTGCTCATCATTTTCTGTGTGATTATGACCTTTAATTTGTCTGATTACAGTAATTTCATGTTTTTTTACAAGAATATTTCGCACCATGGATCTATCTCTTCACCTTCCAAATCCGGATTCTAACAAAGTATGTCATGCTATATGTGAAATTCAAAAAATTATTGCATTGTAGATGTCGAGTGTTGATGTTTTGGCCAACATCCAACAAAACTTCAATCACTTGAAGGCTGATGAAAACGAGCAACCTATCATCCAATTTTCTGCTTGGTCTATGGCAGGTTCACCACCATTCTTGAACAATCACCTCAATGACGCTGGGCCAATTATTCCATTGGTATGCTTTTTTCAACTTTTGATCAATTTAATATTTTCTACTTAACTTTGAATTAAAAAAAAAACTTGTGCGTTTCAGGCTAACGGAATCGGAAATTTAAACAGAAACCTCAATCATGAGATTCCTTCTGGAGCTTCTGGATTAGCTGGAGCTGGCCAACCTTTTGAGCTTGATTTAATTTCCTTCTCCCAGGTGACAATCAATAATATCGAGAGCTTTGAGAACAAGGGACCACTTCAGGTTAAGAGAATCATAACTAGATACTCACATTTTATAAATTAAAATATTTATTTACAGATAATTGAGGATCCTGGCTTGGAGGATCCTATTGATTTGGTGGAGGAATTGAAGCGACTTAAAACTTTGTTTCGGAAGCCTTATTGGAAGAAATCTGATTGTTCTACAGAATCAACCAAGCCAAAAAAGTAAAATATTCAATACAACGCCTAAACTCAAAATACCGACCATTTACAGATAAAAAATCCATCCGATTTCTCTTCCAAAAGCACCAACGAAGATCCACTTTCTTAGCACGACCATCATTTTTAATTGCTTTTAATTTTTTATAACCAAAAAGCCGGTTTCCCCTTCCACCTTTCGGCTTCCAGTCGTACCACTTGCGACTGTCCCTTCTCTCTATCAGTCGACTGATTCCCCCTGCCGTACCACTTGCGGCTTCTCTGCCTCTATATCCCACCACTTGGGACTCTCTCTCTCGGTCCTACCGTTTGGGACCAACCATCCCTTCTTTGTTTTTCGGGAAAGTCGTACCACTTACGGCCATGCCAGTCATTCCACTAATGACTTGCTTCCCTCTTTTTTTTTACTTATTTATTTTGTTTTTTTATTAATTTTTTATACTAATTTGTGTGTGCGTGTGTATGTTTAGGTATCGTCGCTTTTGCTTCTGCCGCTGCCGATGGAAGGACCCTACCTTAAGCAATAGTCTCTCTAACATCCTAAGGGCCTCTAGTCTCTAGTTTAGTACGCCGTAGTCGGCATAGTCGTAGTCGGCTATTTGGCGGCTTATCCGCTGTATCCTAAATTCGGGTGATTGGCCTGGCAAGCCCTTCAGCCCTGATTCCGTAGCCGGGAATCGAACCCTACCCAAATGCCCTGTTTCGAGTACTTTCGAGTTCTTGGAAACTGCTATCGGGCGTTATGGATGGTTAAGCTTTAAAATTTCGCAAAAAAAAACCACATTACCATATCACCAGTAGACCCGGGGCCCAGCCAGACGTGGCTTGCCCAACCACTTCTACTTCTATTATCCTTGGATGATAGTTGTGGGATGTCCTTGGGTGATCCCCATGGTCGGATCGGCGATGACCCACATCAGGTTTCGGCCTGATGCTGGTGAGCCTCTCCTTCAAGTGTCGAGCCTCTACGTGGCGAAATAGATCAACTGACTCGGTCTTCCATCACGGAGGATCGAGTCAGGCTAATCGGCACAAGAATGCAATTCTTTACTGCAATTCTTTTTGGATTTTAAAAATTAGGTTTATTTCTAAGTTTTTTTTTCTTTTTTTTCAGTCTTTTTACCTCTAAATGAAAATTGATGATGATAAGTGTTTTTCTTTATATAGAATATTGATGAGAGTCCCAATTATATAAAAAATATTTTTAATTTTCTTTGAAAAACTGATTAAAAATAACACAATTATTTTTTGTTCCTGTTGTATTGTCCCCTTCGCCCGCGTTAATTTTTTGGGTTTTTAGAACTTTCGTGATTGGACAAAGATCCACTCGGGCCTACTTTACTTTTTACAATACTCCACTTTACTATCTTTTTTTTTAAAGCAAAGATGATAGACTATCTATTAATTGTGTTTCTGCAATATTCAAAAAAGTAAATGATTTTGAGAACGATGATGTAAACTGAAATATGTTTCAAAATGATAGGAAAGAGGTAAAAAGAAGTGAACATTCTATTGCTTCCGGTATTGGAAAAAAATTTCATTGCACTGGATAATTAATAAATTTGCTTTTTGATTTTTTTTTCGGTAAATCGGATTATCATTGAGGAAAACTAGTCTTTCAAATATAATTACATAATCTTTGTAAAGAGATTGTTTATTTCAAAAGATTTATCAAAATTCGAATAGGCCTTTTTTTGTCGTTGAATTTGTGCCAACGTGTAAATTTAAAAATTTGTGTGAATAATAATCGAGCAGCCGTTTGAAACCGACATTTTAGTGGTAACTAATAATGAGTAATTAATATTTTTCACAATTTATTGGTTATTAATTAGACAAATTAATCAAATTTTTCATATTTTTGCCAATTAAAAGAAAGTAAAAAATGTCGATTGTAATACAAAAAGAGCACAGTATCTTGCAATTTTCCACCAGTTTTTTTTTTAATTTGTCAGCATTTGTGTGAATTTTTGCATAATTTATTAAGCTACTTCATCCAAGTTCCGCGGTAATCAGTAAGCCAAATCACTTAGAACTGAAATTATAGGTTTCATATTACATTCCCCTTGTGGGTTGGTAATTGAGAGGTAAACATTAACATTTGTATGCAATTTCATCTTTCTTTGTGGCTGTAATAAATATTTCTTTTTATTTCAAAAATTAAGTGGTCAACAATAAGGAAATAGTGAGAAGAATGAACTAAAAAAATACAAGATTCTAGAAATGTGTTCAGAACTTTTTTTTTACTATTTCTAGAGTATTTTCCACTATGCCAAGGGTTTGGTCTTGCTCATTTTGACTCAAGCTCTTTACAATTTTATTTTTTGTATATTCACAATCAAAAACAAATGACATATTTATTGGTCTATAATGAAAAGGGAAAATGAAGTCATTCAATGCAAATTGTAGGTAGCCAACTTTGCAGAGTTATGTAAAGATGAAAGCAAATAAACGTTGAATAATTAATGATGACGGAGACGACGCATTCTGTTGATTATATAGAATGTGATGAGCCAGAAGACAGCCGAGAGAACAACTCCAAATGTATACTGTTTCTCGGTGGGAACATCCAGGAAGACAACCAATGAACTAAATAACATATTCTTGATGTTGGTGAAGGTGATCAACAACAACGCTGCAATCAACATTATGATTAGTTTGACCTTTTTCCTACTTTATACTTACCCATCATATGGCACTGCTGGATTATTCGCATATCCATTATGAACAATAAAAGCAAATTTGAAAATGATTCATATAAGATAAAATATAGGCGGCAGAAATTATAATTAAAGTCTGCTGAGCACAATTAATATATCATTATTAATATCATAGGTAAGCTAATTCATGAAACATTTGAAATTTATGAAATAATTTGAAAATAATTATAATATATTGAAGAAATGTGAAAAGATTTGCCAGAAATTGTGCTTAAAATTCACTAGAATGAAAAATGCAGGAATTTTTTTGGTTTTTCAAATGAAATTGACTTAGTGGTGAGATAATAACTTTCCAGTTTTTTTTAGCAATTCAGAATTTTAATTTATACAGTTTTTCAAAAATTGTCACACATATCGTTTTTTTATCAATTTAGGAAATTTCCAAACCATAAAAGGAATAAAAATAACATGTGAGGTCTTCTGTATGATATCGTTGAAGTTACTGTACAATTTGTTGAAATTCTGCAACCATCGCGTTGATCAGAACTAACAATTTATTAATAATTTTATTCTTTTTTTTTCGTTTAGTGCATATTTTCCATCTCTCTTATTTTTTTTTCAAACAAAACCAGGAATATATTAAAGCATTTTTTCCATGAAGCGCAGAACATTATTTAATAATATCCTACTGATCAATTTCGTTGTTAAAATTGACAATAAACATATACCCCTTTATTTAATAGTTTAATTTAAAGAACACCATCCACTCTAAAAATAATAACAATCTGATCAAGAAGCAAAAAAAAAAACGAAAATTCAAATTTATTCAAAAAATTTGTAACAAATATTTTTTGGTTGGATTTTTTTTTTAGAATTTTTGGACGATCACATAAAGACTGCCCAGAAATGAAAAAAAATTTAATTCATAAATCTCGAAGTCAACATATTGTTCGAATTTTTACCTACTTAGAATGTTCCGAAAACTCGGAACTACTTTTTTCCGTCATTCCTGATATCCTTGTACAAAATGCTTGGTTATTGGAAATCTTTCAAGTTTGCCTGTTGTGTTTTTATTGCCCCATAAGGTGACTATTGGAATAAATGTGCGATATGTTGAACTTAGCACATTTGCTCTCGCTTTTTTTTGGCTGCACGTATACTCCTCCCGTACATCACGTTTCTTGCCCGTCTATGTCACTCTGCGTTTCGCACGAAGCTCCGCCCATAGCACCATACGCATAGCAACAGTACCATTCAATCAGTCAACATTGTACCATGCCTTCTGCGGTGTTTTCTGTTGCTGCCGTTCGACCTTCCGAGCAGGAGCTCGCTTTTGCCAACTACGAATGTGATCGATTCGCTGCGCAGCTTCGCGGCATCGATAGACTGCATTTCAACGTCATTGCGTTGTTACAAGTCTTTGCTCAATGTATCGCCACCGTCAGTGATCAATGCCTTCCATTTCTGACCGAGGAGATCTACACATCGCTCGATCAAATCTGCAACGAGTACAAGTGCGGGTTCCAAGTTTTCGTCGACTTTTTCTGGCCAGAAGTTGAGACATTCTACGCGCTTGAAGTCGAGCTCGCTTCAATCGATGACCATATTCTTGCCGAGATTAGACGCAAGAAGTTGCTAATCGAACTTGTCAAGAAGAATCTCGGCCTTGTATTTGGTCAAGTTGTTCAAAGACGCGGAATGGAACACGAAGATAACGAATTCATAGAGTACGAGGAGTCTTCGGATGAAAGCGGTGTGGAATCAGAGGAATCCGACGATGATTCCGGTGTCGAGGCTACCTCAGGCGACGATGACACTTCAGACGACGATACTGAGAGCGATGCCGTCGAAGTCGATTCTTCAGAAGACGACGATGACGAAGAGATTGATGTTGTTAACTGAGGTTTGTTGATTTTCTTTCCAATTCCTAATTTATTTATTTCATTTTCAGAAAATTCCTCCAATCTTTCTCAACTACTTTATTTTCATTAACTCCAATAATTTATTCTAAACAAAAAGAAAGGTTGGTTTTCAGAAAAAAAAAATTTCAAACTCCAAATTTTTTTATTTTCAGGTGACAATCTTATCGTTCTAGTCGATCAAATTCCAGTCAATTTCTATCGTCTTGGTAATGGCGTTGCTCATCGTTTGATCACCGAATGATTTCTCGAATTGTCAATCTTAATATTTTGTTACGGTTTTGTTCACTTTTCATATCACGAGTTTCTTTTTTCATTATTTCGTTTTGCTCATTATAACCCATTTTGAATACTTGCGATTATAAATTATTCAATAAATCGATTAGTAATTGTATACGATGTCTTCGTTGAGCAACCTGTCATCACCTCGTCAGCCATGTGAAGGCTCGCACATTTTTATGACTCTTCGATAAATCGGTCTATGCCTTCAAGTCAATAAATAACTGTCAAGATTCTTGGCATAATCGGTATCTTTTGATATCGCACATTCGAATGTGCGAAAAGTGAGTTGTACCTATCCTTAGTTTATTAGAATACACTATCGACGTCAAATGACTAAGCGAAATAAAAAAAATTATTATTGCCAATGTGCCAATGCGTCTCAAGAAATCAAGAATGCGCACATTGCATTACAACCAGCGTAAATCGAATTTTTGTTACGCGTAAGCGTACGTTTGTTTATAAGTGTGAGCCTGAAAATGGCGTAAATTTGTAAGCTTAAACGCGTGAGCGTAATAACACTTAACGTATAGTTATAACGTTCGTGAGTTTAATTTTTAGTCAAAGTTGAATTGAAATTTACACTGATTTTGCGAAATTGAAGCCTCTGCCTTCCTTCACTCGCTTGACGTCGACATTATTTAAAATAAAAAATCAGTGCAAAAATTCTCGAGCTAATCTATGGGTTTCGTAAAATGAAAACAAAAGTAGAATATCAATAATTTTTGGTGGTGATTTGAAGCAAATAAAAATTCATATGTTATGAAAATTTACATGTTATTATTGAAATTCAAAACTATTTAAAAGATTTGCATCAATTATTTTAAGAAATTTCTTCGTTCTGCATAAAACTGGAATAAAATTGTAGAGACCCCAATTCCATATATGTGAAAGTTGAGACATTCACGAATTCTTAAAGCTTATCGATAGCATCAAATAAGCACCACATGCGGAGAATTTCCCAACCTATATCTATATAATCTATTGCACCGAAAATGCGTCGACGTATAAAGCGTCAATCTGTATACAATTTGACGTCATTCTTGATATGTTTTTTTAAAATTCAGTTATCTTTTATATTAAAAAAATCTATTTGGACATGCATTCACTTTTTTATCAAGATTGTTCCTACATTCCTGACATCATTTCTGTGATTTTTAAAGAGTAAAATATGAATTTATAATAAATATTTATTAAAATATGAGGTAAAAAAGAATTTTAAGAATCAAACGAGTGGTAGGAGGCCACTCCCCGTGATTTTACACCGAATGGAACAATAATTAAGCGTAGTAAGAGTAACATCTAAAGTTGATGAAAAATGAAGAATTCAATATAAATCTGATGAAGGAAGTCATGTCGTTTTACTTGCTCGAAGCATTCTCATTATCTTCTTTCTTCTCATCCTTAGCTTGTTGATCTCTATTACTGGCCTGCGAGTAATCTATCTGAATATCACAAAATCGTTATTTTATGGAAGTTTAATAAAATCCTACCGAATGCGAAGGTGCACGAAAACGCGCAGCCGAAGAGCTGGCTCCAGGCTGAACTGCGGCATCCGATAATTTATGCGTTGGCAGCTCGCATGAGGACTTGATCTCGACGATCTTCTTCTTAGCTGACGGCGTTTCTTGTTGGGGAAGCATCTGAAAATCAATTTGACATGAATACACGCGAATATTGGAATTGTAAACTACGTTGGTCGAAGAAACTGAAGAAGCTGATGAGCCTTCTGCCTTAGTTCCTTGATAGCTAGCCCCCTTAGTTTCTTCAGAAGTTTGTTGCATCAACTTGGCCAGCGCATCCGGCTGCTTGCTCTTCAACTTCTGAATTAGAAGAGAAGCATTGCATCTTGAAATTGAAAACGTACGAATCGCTTGGTACGATCCAAGTGGCTCTCTTTGCCGCTGCGCCAAAAGGGAACAGTTTTTCCATCCCATTTTGTCTTTGCCATTTTGCCGCCAGAGCTAAAATTGTCAGTTTCGGTATATCGACATCCATTCCATCTTAAATATTCATGAACTACCTGGGAGAATTTTTCTCGTCACGATTTCCAGTGCTCAGAGAGCTCGTCGATGAGCATGCTTCAGTTCCGACAGTTGAAACAAGATTGGCAGTTGAGAGCGATGAATCAGTGCTGTTTGGCTCAGATCTCCAATGTGTGGTGGCTGTCGACAGACTAGAAGAAGAACTCGTCTCGTTCGCTCTGAAATTTAGAATCAGTTAATGCAAGAGAAAATTAAGCTAATAAGGTAACCTTGCTTGTTGGTCAGGATTTGTGCCATTTGTCAACTTCTGATCGCCTTCTTTGTTTTCATTTTTCCCTTTATTAGCAGCCATCTGCGAGTCGGATGAATCCATCACGTAAGCTTATCTGAAACTATTTATTTATTAGATAATAATTTTTCGGCGATCGAGTGATGGTATTAGTAGAGAATTGTGATATCATTCGTAATAAGCGCTACGATAGGATTTAAACGTTTGAAATATGTGCGCCTTGAAACTCTCGTCATCTGTATTTCTTTAAATTCAAAAACTCTTGATCAATGGAACAGTTACAGAACAGAAAACTCAATAAACTGAAAAAAAGAAAAAGCAAGATAAATTCAAAGGAATGAGAAGAAAAGAGAACTCACACCAATGTAATTGAGTTGCAAAATAATGAGGGTCAACTATGAAGAGTGCGGTAGTAATAAAAGGGTGGTAGATTATCAATAGAGCGTACATGTCCTAGAAATAGTTAATGAGATGTCAGTAACAATTATCTGGGAAAAAAAGCAAAACAAGTTGAGATAAAAGTAGAAAATGGTTGTTGTAAAAATGGATAAAAGTTTTTGGGGGGGGGGCATAATTTTTGTTGGATTTAGGTATTGCAACGCATCGAAAGTTCATTGAGTATTAATAGGATAGGTTTTTCTAATAATCGCCTAGAAATCGTTTTTTACTTTATAATTGTTAAACGATTTCTGGATTTGGGTAGCTCTAATTCAATGATGCTGATTATTGAATTATGGAGTTTTGTTTTTAATGTATCACCTTCAAAGGAACTATTATGGTCAATCTCCATAAATACCCATTTATTTGTAATGATCTGATTATTTTTTCGATTTCGGAAACTTAATGTAGTCATGTAACCTTTTGATTTGCTCAAACAGCTGTTTATTGTAAGCTTTTTCGTGCTTTCAAAAGAAACATCTGGCATCGTAAATCATAAATTGAAAGCTTGCAACTATTTACCACTACGTCACTTTGCGCGCGAATTTGAGATTTTGTGCGGATTTTTGAAATTCGCTTCTGTCTTCGATTCTCCCATACACATCTGAACTGAAACCAATCTGCTGAAAGTGTGCCGAAGCCAATTTCAACACCCACCCAAGCCAAGGACCGAAAAGCTTGGAAAGCTGTGGTTCGCGCCTCAACAGGCGAAGGACGAACCGACTAAGTGACTAAGTAAGTAAGTGATTTATTCTAATTGCAATAAGGCTTCAGCAACAGTCTGATGTCCAGAAGTTATTCACCTTATATGGAAGTAACGGTGAAATCGCCCTTGACATCAGACGGATGACTGAAGATCATTTTTGCTAGAAGCTCCAAGAAAATCATGTTAGATTTCAACATGACGGGTGGGGTTGCGATTAACGATTTCAAATATTCAAACACTGTATATAGAAAGAGCATCCTAATTCTAAATAAATCTACAAAAATGATACCCCGGCAACTTCAAGGTTTAAGTAAAATAAATACTTTCCACTTTTTTACATTATTGGCCACCAAAGAAAATATATTTGTTTACGGCATCTTTTTTTTAACGATGAATCAGAGGCATGTGCCGTGTGTTTACGATATCGCCAACACATTGAAGACCAAATCGGCACTTTCGAGGAATGTTCCCAATTTCTTGCTTAACAATGAATTGCGAAATATGAGAAATTGTTGAAATTTGCCTCGCTCGGGAAAAATGCAAGAAAGTCCATTGTTTTATAATTATCTATTCAAATATTGACAATAAGGAATAATAGACCAATTATTCCCTTATTGCTGTCCATCACATTTAATTTTAATGTTATATATTGGTATTTGTTTTTACGAGGTTTGCAAAACGCGGAAGACGACATGAATACATCAAAAGCGGAGAAACACATGTAAATGAGCGATTGAATCCTACAATTGTTCGCTGAAATAATCTAAAAATAAATAATTTTTATAAAACAAAAACTAACAACTTCTGATCCAAATATTTCAATTATTATCAAACACAAATCTCTGATTCGATTAATAACAAATTTTTTTTAACAAAATTTTTTTAATAGAAATTCTCATTACTTAAACATTTAAGACTTTTTTTTAGTTTTATTATTTTACATAACTCCTTGAAAACCTTGGCCACAAATTTTGAGATCGATCATTCCGAAAAGTACCAATTTTCAGCTATTTTTGAATTAAATATCAGAGGAATTAGAAACGGTACATTTTTGTCGCGCTGTCAAGCCCCTCTTTCTCTTTTTCTGGGCGGAGACATGACGCGACGCGGGCGCGGGCGCGGCTCTGACCCTATCAGTATAAAAGAAGAGCGCACAGCAGTGGAACATCAGTCGTCATCATTTCTCGACTAGTTCTGCTCTCTTCTTTGACCATCGCATCTTATTGATTTATATCATTTCAGGTAGTTATTTTTGCTCTGAAACCCACGAAGATGGAGTCGACCACCCCAATGATGGAAAAAGCGATGGACATCAACCTCGTCGAGGTAGTTTCAGAACTGGTTCCAAGTTGAATTAATATATTTGCAGGTTGACGAGAAGGCGGACAAGCGCAATGAGTCTGCTGCTGAGATCGCGAAGACCACTGAGACCGAAATGGCGGCTGAGAAGCCTTCCGACGACAAGGACTCGGCTGAGGCGAACGAGTCCAAGAAAACTGACGAGGAGCCGGTCGAGGTTGAGAACCCAAGCAGTAATTAACTGCTCTCTTCGGTTCACTACCGCCGATTTCTTAATGTTATGTTGGTTATTGTTGTTATTGAATAAAATTTCCAACGAAAAACACTGTATTTGAATTTTTAAAGAGAAAAACAATATGAATCAAGATAAATAAAAAGAACAGTATCAATAAAAATGCATAATCCTTCTCTTGATCTCTGAGAAGTCGTGATAACATATTACCAGCTGGTGTGCATGCTTCGTTGAAGGGAATCGAATCTGAACCGCTCCGCGTAAAATGTCTTTTGAGAATGAACAGACAAAATATGTTGTTTCATAGTTGTCTTCCGTAAATTGTGAATATAATAAAAACTAATTTCACTTTTTATGTGATAGATGCGCCTACGATGAGAAGGCATTTCTCAAGGAGCTGTTAAGTCAAGGAAAAATTTACGACCGGGGCGACAAACAGTCTCGTCGCAATTCGTCAAAATCAATATCAAAAATTGTGAGAGATGTTTGGCAGGCAATAAGAACAAAAAAATGACTTTTTAATGTTTTCCCAATGCTGACTCATTGTTACACAGTTGATTACTTCTAATTATATAATTTTTCGCGAATAATCACAAAACAAACCAGTATTAACAAAAATAATAAAATGAATTTTTTTGTATATTTGAGAATCCGAAGACACTTGTATCCACGCGTCCATTTTCATATTTAATTTTCCTATTATAACCACAAAGAAAGAATAGATCGCATGCAAATGCTAATGTTTCGACCTCTCACTTATCAAATCACAAGGGGAAAGTAATATGAAACCTATAATTTCAGTGCTAATTGATTTGGCTTACTCGTGATTTCCACAATTCTCCGATGAAATAGCTTAGTGAATTTCGCGCAGTATGACTCAATTAACATTTGAAACCACACAAAAAATACTTTTTTCACAGTTGTTTTAATTTCTAAATTTTAGTGCAACTAATTAAATAAATAATAATTAAAGTTGTAAAGATGACTTCGTTTTCGCGAAGTGAATTTGATTAATGTGAGTTCAGATGAACCAACTTTTTTTTTTGTGAGTCTATTAATTAATTTTTTAATTCCTCTGACACAATTAATAAAAAAACTTTATTTTAAATTTTTTTAACCAAGTTTAATCACCCAACTTTAATGTATTATAGTATTATCAACGTCGCGGAAAAATTGCTAAAAGCCAAAAATATTGAATGAGAGGTTTTAGAGTGCAGTATGCGCCTTTAACGCATCCTTACGTTTACGCGCGTAATTCTACACTTGCACTTTAACTCCGAGACCATTGCTTTTCTTTTTTGGGATTTTGCCAATTTTCCGTAGTCGCGCTACTTCGAAAATAACTTAAACATAACGAGGATGATATGATCGCCACATTAGCATTTTAAGCATTAATGGTGCACGAAAAAAAGCAAAAATGAGAGTTCTTGTTAACCTTATGCTAACTGCAGTAAAATCAATTATGTCTTTAACTAATCGTAATTAATGAGAGTATGTTGAAATGCGTTAATTATAATTGATAAAAAAAATATAATAAAAGCAGCCGAATTTTATGTTCTTTTCAATTTTTCCGCAATCATTTTGCATTTTTTTAGTTCACTATCAACATCTCAAATGATTCACTTCGTTGAGTATGCAGTATGTTAAATTATCCTAATTAATTCGAATAAATTATTTTATGGTGGCTTTCAACACTGTCAATGATTATCTCGACGCAATATTCGGACTAACCGTATTTATTGAAAATGATGTAAAAAAATTTTCTGAAAATCACTGCTTCTTTTCAGAATTTTCTTCGTGCGACGTATTCCTATGAAGAACTGCGCGCTCCAATCGCGATGCTTCGAACTGCTTCAAACTGCTTGGATGCATGTCTTGACGAGACAAATCGCTACCTATTCTTTGTAAGCGGTTAAGCATTTAACTAGATATTTGCTCAATTCAATTCTACAGATGAAGCTTCTCAATGCCGAACGTCTCGTCTGTGATGTTGAGAAGATCTACCACGACACATATGGATTGATTCTCTCGAGAAACACCGATGTTTAAATTTACACATTTAAAAACTATTATCAATAAAATATATTATCTATATGTAAAGGTTGAAAAATAAGTGAACATTTCAAGTTTGATTAATTTATTGCTATAGCGGGTCCATTAAATACCAGATTCGTCAAATTGATTGAAGGAAGCTTTCGTTATGATCGAAGTAGGCTTAGAATGCTGCAGACTCCAATCCACTGATCATCTTGGGCCCTGAAAACTCTGGCGTGACTTTGTCAGCTCACCTGATGGCTGGAAATAGACTTACAAGTAAGAAGTAAGTGAAGTGAAAGTTTTAACTAAAACGTTTTTAAATTGGCGGTTGATGATACCGAAAAGAACTAAAAGAGCGGCTTCAAGCAAAAATTATGATTTCACAAATTTCAAATTTCAAAAATTAAGAAAAATTTGACCGTATTTTACGACCTCGGCAGCGCACACCTGCTCGATCGATCATGGTGAATGAGATAATTTCTTTTTTTTTTAACTAAATTAAATATTTGAAAAACTTTTAAAATGGATCTCGTTAATTAAAAATATTGGTATTTGGGATTTTGACAATTTCGATAAATTTTTTCTTTGATTTTTTTGAGTCTACACCATATGTCTTGAGTTAGTTAGTGTTAAGCAAGACTCCGCCCATACCGTAATCTCTAGCCAATAGGAAGCAACTGTCTTTTTAGCACCTCCCATTCGCACCTGTACTTCCCTCATTGGGACCATTCTCTCTCATACCTTTTTTTGTCACCATTTTCATTTGCCTCATCATTCCTCCTTACAATTATCATCGAATATCAGCACATTCACTTGATTCTTTTCTTAGAATTTTTAGAATTACAACACTAATTTTTTGTACAAAAATTCATTAACACGCTATAATCATTTAAATATAGTTTTAGACATAAATTTTATCGATTTAAACTACATTGAAGGTGCACACTAAAAGTAGAGGGATGATATATGGCGAACACTTTTCGAAATTATAATAATTTTAAAAGTTCATTCGTTTGAAACCGACAGTATTTTCAGATATTTTAGACACAATGAAGTCGAATAACCCCCGCGAAACCCAAACCCCACAACATCTCAGTGAAACCAATGACCAGAATGCACAAAGAGCCGAAATCCCAAGGTTAGTTCTACTTCTAATTTATAAATAAGAAATGTTTTCAAAATGTCCAATCATCATATATTCAGAGCTCCAATGATGGCAAGAAGAATCCGCTGTCGTCTTTCAACCATGTCGACAGTCTCTTCGGTATCTGCCGGCAGACCCATTTCTAGATCCCCCTCTGTGTAAGTAGGATTGCAAATCATGAACAAATTTCAATTTTTCGTTTTTTTTTCTTTATAATTGAGAAAATTTACAGAATCTCTTTGCATGCCTCAATGGAATCATCCCATAATGCTCCGGACTATGAGCCATCACCGAGAAGGGTTTTGTATGAGAGCTTCGAGTCAGCCTACTCCCATATTGTGTATGACATCAACTTTTTTTAAACTAACAAACTTATCGATATTTAAGCGAATCGTCTAGACATTCATCGTTTCTTGCTGCTGATGAACCCAGAAATGGTAGCCCGATTGAAGAAGTGAACCCAGCGGCCCCTCCAGTTGTGAACCCTGTGGCTCCTCCCATTGTCATCAGAAGAAGACAAAATGTACCGAGTAAATTAAAGCAGTAGAAAATTTGTTGAAATTTTAGAATCGCCCTGCAATTCCAATAGAAAACCTCGATGAGGCGGACAATGAGATGAGCTCATTGGGTGCAGTTGACAGGAGAACCCCTGGAGGAAGTGATCGACGCCATCGCGCCATTGCGCCGAATGTTCGCCCACTACCACCACCACCCCAGGTAGCTATAATTCACGTTGCATCGCATACTGTTAATTTCAAGGAAAATAATGGTCCGGCAGTGCCGCGCAAACTAAGCCAATATGAGATTGTGACGGAACCTTGGAAGATGTGGAGAAGAGAGCAGAAATAAGTTTCTCAACGACGTTCTTTAAATTGGTAAATGCTTCTCAAAATGCTGAATAAAATTTAAAATCATTTTCAGGTTCTTTCTCCCATTATTTTTTAATCAACGTCACACTGAAGCTGCCGACTTTCCCTTCAGGCAATTCTTTGCCTGGCTACATGCAATTCGTTCGGTTTGCCACACCTCCTGTTATTTTTAAAATTGTTTTTTTTTCGTTTGTTCATCTCCCGTAGATTTGTAGTTTTTTGTTTTAATAATCTTGTTGTTTGTTATACGTTTCTCTCCCGCGCCTATAAGCCTATCCCCCTGAGCTTCTTTTAACGGTGCAAATGTCCATGCCTACCGGTTATTTATCATCCCCCACCAGTTATAATTTTTTCTGCATAAGTAATATATAATATTATCCAAGGCATTTGTTTTAGAGAGTCTGCGAATTCCCCCCCCCAATTCTCTGTTATTTTAAAAATGTTAAAGCATATTCGTGAAAAATGCTAGTAAAATTTTTTTCCTTCTAGAAATTGATTCAATGTGTAGTATATACGAATAAAGTGTTTAATATTTTTCACACATTTGAAATTTTTTAGTTGGCATCCAAAATATTAAATGATCCATGTTTTCAAGAATGCGCAACCCTGCAGAATATATCTAGTCATCCAAGAGCTCTGGTGCTCATCAAAGCTGTGAGTTTCTAGTTTTTCGAAAAGAACAATTGAAAATACTTTGTGTCTCATTCCGTCAAGTTTTCTGCAAAGTTCGAAAAAAAATTAGACCAAATAACTTATTTTTAAATTGCCTTCAGTTCCTGGATATTAATTGACCGCACTGTTCGTGTAAAACGGTCCCGCTTAGTAGAAAATTGTCAAAACCTAGTAAATTTTCATTATTCTTTTTGAAACTAATTTTGACTTATAAGAATTTATTAAATATATGTAGGAGACGGGTAAACTATTTATTAGAAAAACTAGAAAAGACAACAAATGGACAGGTGACGACATTCGACGGCATTTATTGTCAATAAATTCCATGAAAATATGTATATCAAGTTAAATAATATTAGAAAACGGGTGGTAGGTGGGCCACTTCCCGTTACAGTAAAAAGGGTAATTAAATCATAAACGACAATTAAATATCAGAATTTATAGTTAGTTATTCTCGTGAGGGATAGAATCCCTGCTCAATCAATCCCATGGCCCTGGCCCGTTCAATGAGGAAAATACAGATGACGTTGCAAGCACGCACATGGATTCTGTCAAGCTTCTCGATGAGGAACTGAAATTGAATGAACTTCATTGCCCAACATATTAACATTTCAAAAAATAGAAACAATCGAACCGATGCACGCAGATGACGACAGTTTCCTCTGAGGCATTCCGCCTTCAAAGTATCCAATCTTTCCTTGACACTCACAAATTCGTCAATAAAAGGGCGAAGTTCCTCAGTGAGAACGTACTCATCTCCCTGTCGAAGGATTTCTCTCTTAAAATTATTCGGGGATTTTTAACTTGCGAATTAAATCACTTACGAATTCTTCGATGTGGTAATCGATTTCTTCTTGAACGGATCGACGAAAATCCTCGCAGCTCAAGTCCATCTCGAACGCCGTATGAGTCCAATACTGCACGTAAAACACGAGAGACCACAAAAAAGCGAATGACTAGCCTATAGGATAAAGGGGAACTCGGTGTTTGCACAATGTGAACGAGTGTTACCGTAATCTATCTGTAAAGCCAATGATATTGATATATTTGGTCTGTAATAGAAATCGGTGTTTACACCATTTGAACTAGTGATACAGTAATACGTGTGCAATCATTTTTTCGAGAATTTTTATTAGAATTGAAATATGGATCGACTCGTTTAATGAAAATTGTTAAGGAATTAACATATATATATATAAGGTTGGCTCGAAAGAAGAGGGAAATGAGATCCCGAAAAAGTCACCCTGGTTTGAGTTAATGAGCATGATTGACGGCAGCCATCAAAGGGCTTCCTAACACCTGTGTTTTAATCTGCCTTCACGGCAACTGCGCGCAATTAATGAACAAAATGAGAAGATATGCCGCTCATTTGATTCTGGCATTTCTCATAGAAACGAGAGTATTTCGCCGTCCAGTTATATCTAATTCGATGAATAATCATTTTCAAACACACATTTTCGATTTGGCGCACGTGACAACACCAGTCATTTAGCGCAAAAGGAAACCACAATAAATTTTTAAATCACAAATTTGTGTGCTCAATTATTCGAAATTAGTTATTCATGAAATCAAATTATTAAAAAAAATGAATAGATTTAAATTCCAGTTCTGTTGTTTTCGTCATAGGTGGCTAGCTCATTGCTCAGACGTTCGACAATCTGCATTGCATACTGAAGATAGGCACTCTGAAATTCGAGTGAATAACTACAGTTAATGTCAAATTGGAGACCGTACCAGCCTACTATTGGGATTGTAATTGTAATTGGAGCTCTCGGCGATTATTTGCTGCAAGTGTGCGTGCATGCGGCGAATTTCCTCGGCACGTCTGTTCTCGGGCATCCCATTTTGATGGGCGCGTTCCTGAATACAAATTCTTGAAATCTGATGTGTTTTCAATTTGCTTACAAGGATAAAATATCCACGAATAGCGATTATTATGCGTCGGAGAATGTCTTGATTTTCCATTTTGCTGGAAAAATTAAACCTGTTCAACGAATGAAGAATGGAGAAATTGAAATCGTAATGAAATCGCGGTTGATGCGTGGTTGCGGAGTGAGCAGTTATCGCGTTGCTTGGAGACGAGCTCACTTAATGCTCCATAGCTTTCATGAGTAAGTATGATTAAACCAAATTTGATAGAATAAGATAAATATGCTCTTACACTGTTCTTCACATCACCGATTTCCCATGAGCCTCACAATAAAGGATCAAATTTATGGAAAACAAAATGAATGTTTTCTTCCACACAGTCAACTGAAAAGAATATAAATTATTATAAAGATTATATATTTTTACAATATTTATCTGAAAATTCCAAAAATCTGGCACATGTCTACTTTAAAATTGTTTTTTTATTAATACCGAAATTGCGCTTGCCAAGCATCATCGAATTCATAAAATTTGTCGTGAAAGTAGAAGCACGTACGATCAATTCTATATGGCTAACTATATTTTCGAAACGTGCTGCGGACAAATTCAAGCGTGCTACTAGCAAAAACATCAATCGATAAAGAAATTATTGTCAATGGAAAAATATGAGAAGCTATAACTTTCAAAATTGAGTAATTAATGGAAAAATAAAAAATAAAAGGTTTAGAAATTATAGCCGAAATATTAAAATGGAAAAGTTAATAAACTCTGGCAAAACTATGGATGGCCAGTAAAAAAATTAAACAATTATGTTAACTATGTAGTGACTAATATGAATTGGTAATTAGTAATAATAGAAAAATTTTATACTTCGAATTATTTAACTATATTAATTATGAGTCATTTTTTTTAAAAACATTTCAGTGCCAATTTCTGATTTTTTATTCTCCCCCAACATCCTTCAAAAAACTATTTTCAACGATTCCCTTGCAAAACATGACCTTATTACTGTTTTTAGTCAGCCGTAGGTTTTTCATATTTGCTGCATCCCTTTTCGTTTTTTTACATCATACATAATTTTAATGCGATATAAATATTAACATTAGCTTTTATGACGTTCGTAATATACGGAAGACGACAATTAAACACTATTAATTACACCAGTCTTGTCATTCCGAAAAGAGCGGAACCGATTCGGTTCCCATTAATGAAGCATGCACACCAGCTGGTAATCAGTTATCACGACTTCTCAGAGATCAAGAGAAGGATTATGCATTTTTATTGATACTGTTCTTTTTATTTATCTTGATTCATATTGTTTTTCTCTTTAAAAATTCAAATACAGTGTTTTTCGTTGGAAATTTTATTCAATAACAACAATAACCAACATAACATTAAGAAATCGGCGGTAGTGAACCGAAGAGAGCAGTTAATTACTGCTTGGGTTCTCAACCTCGACCGGCTCCTCGTCAGTTTTCTTGGACTCGTTCGCCTCAGCCGAGTCCTTGTCGCCGGAAGGCTTCTCAGCCGCCATTTCGGTCTCAGTGGTCTTCGCGATCTCAGCAGCAGACTCATTGCGCTTGTCCGCCTTCTCGTCAACCTGCAAATATATTAATTCAACTTGGAACCAGTTCTGAAACTACCTCGACGAGGTTGATGTCCATCGCTTTTTCCATCATTGGGGTGGTCGACTCCATCTTCGTGGGTTTCAGAGCAAAAATAACTACCTGAAATGATATAAATCAATAAGATGCGATGGTCAAAGAAGAGAGCAGAACTAGTCGAGAAATGATGACGACTGATGTTCCACTGCTGTGCGCTCTTCTTTTATACTGATAGGGTCAGAGCCGCGCCCGCGCCCGCGTCGCGTCATGTCTCCGCCCAGAAAAAGAGAAAGAGGGGCTTGACAGCGCGACAAAAATGTACCGTTTCTAATTCCTCTGATATTTAATTCGAAAATAGCTGAAAATTGGTACTTTTCGGAATGATCGATCTCAAAATTTGTGGCCAAGGTCTTCAAGGAGTTATGTAAAATAAAAAAACTAAAAAAAAAAGTAATGAAAATTTCGATTAAAAAATTTTTTTGTTAAAAAAATTTTGTTATTGATCGAATCAGATTTGTGTTTGATAATAATTGAAAAATTTGGATCGGAAGTTGTTAGTTTTTGTTTTATAAAAATTATTTATTTTCAGATTATTTCAGCGAACAATTGTCGGATTCAATTGCTCATTTACATGTGTTTCTCCGTCTTTGATGTATTCATGTCGTCTTCCGCGTTTTGCAAACCTCGTAAAAACAAATACCAATATATGACATTAAAATTATATGTGATGGACAGCAAAAAAGGAATAATTGGTCTCTTTTTCTTTATTGTCAATATTTGAATAGACAATTTAAAAAAAAAATTGACTTGATACCCAATTAGGTGAGTTATTTTTTCGATCCTTGCATTTTTCCCGAGCGAGGCAAATTTCAACAATTTCTCATATTTCGCAATTCATTGTTAAGCAAGAAATTGGAAAAATTCCTCGAATGTGCCGATTTGGTCTTGAACGTGCTGGCGATATCGTAAACACACGGCACATGCCTCTGATTCATCGTTAAAAAAAAAGATGCGTAAACAATTATATTTTCTTTGGTGGCCAATAATGTAAAAAAGTGGAAATTATTTATTTTACTTAAACCTTGAAGTTGCCGGGGTATTATTTTTGTAGATTTATTTAGAATTAGGATGCTCTGTCTATACACAGTGTTTGAATATTTGAAATCGTTAATCGCAACCACACCCATCATGTTGAAATCTAACATGATTTTCTTGGAGCTTCTAGCAAAAATGATCTTCAGTCATCCGTCTGATGTCAAGGGCGATTTCACCGTTACTTCCATATAAGGTGAATCACCTCTGGACATCAGACTGTTGCTGAAGCCTTATTGCAATTAGAATAAATCACTTACTTACTTAGTCACTTAGTCGGTTCGTCCTTCGCCTGTTGAGGCGCGAACCACAGCTTTCCAAGCTTTTCGGTCCTTGGCTTGGGTGGGTGTTGAAATTGGCTTCGCCACACTTTCAGCAGATTGGTTTCAGTTCAGAGGTGTATTGGAGAATCGAAGACAGAAGCGAATTTCAAAAATCCGCACAAAATCTCAAATTCGCGCGCAAAGTGACGTAGTAGTAAATAGTTGCAAGCATTCAATTTATGATTTACGATGCCAGATGTTTCTTTTGAAAGCAGGAAAAAGCTTACAATAAACAGCTGTTTGAGCAAATCAGAAGATTACATGTTTAAATAGAGGTGTAAGGGGGAATTCCATAATGTTTATCTTAACTATTTGTTCTTGTTGGTGTTTTTGACTGTAAATTATATATAAAAACATAACTATTAAATGAATTGAAAAAAAAAACTTCCAAAATGCCGAATTGTTAAGGTTATTCATTAGATATCAGGGTATGTAAGCAAAACGAAATCATTTGCAACAAAAGTTGGGATAATTTTCACTTCTTCAAAATTTTTTGGAATACTATTATTGATGCCTCATGATGTAATTACACTTCTTCTTACCGTGAATGTTGAATAAACGCCCTTAAAAATCTATCGCCCATGGTCTGATAAAATTGGCACATATACTGTAACCTCTAGCCAAATAAACATCTGCTTTAAATTTATATAAATGTTTCATTACGTTCAATCTATTAAGTTGTCTTTAAAATAATATCAAATTACTAAAAATTTGCAAAAAAATGAGGGCATTATGAGAACGCGGAAACAAATCTGTGGCAAGAATAGGAAAACGCAACAAAAAAAACCGAAAATCTTAATAAAATATCATAAAAGTATCGATGGTTAGACATGTGGATATAAAAAATACAAAGTGCATTTGTTCTAGGATTATAGTATTGTAGCGGTCGGGTGGTAGGTGTCCACTTCCCGAACCGGCTCAAAAAGGCAAAGAACAGGGAATTCTTGGGGAGAGAATTTTTGCCAAACAATAATGAACATTAAAGGAACAATAACACGTGGGCCAAGGGTTTTATGATTCATTATTGCGAATGTATTCCTTCAAGGATTCAAAGTAAGCCTGCCCCATCTCATAGGCCATCTGTAAAAGAAAATACTCATACTCGCAAAATTTGTGCCAAAAAATAAAAATTGTTCAAATAGCTCACTTCAGCTAAATAGTGCGAGTCATTTCCGAATCCACAACGAGTCCTTGCGTACCAAATCTCGCGCACTTGCAAATTGAATTGATCAAAGAGGAACTTGGTTCTCATATCGGCGACAAAATGCAACTGGTCCTGAAAATTCAATTTTTCATTAACAGATTTATATTAATCTGCCTACATATTCAGATGCGAAGAGTCCAACTCTGCGGAACATGTCGATCCAATAATTCTCGCAGGGGATATTTTGCAAGGCAACGTATCTTTGCTGATCGCGCATTTCAAGATGTTCTGATTGACGTCTCAGTTGGCGAAGAATATTTCGCAGCGTACGAACTTTGTCCTTAAAAAATTAATTTTTTGCTACTGTAACGTGAAATCGCCTACATTCATCCATGAGTGGGTATGAAAACCTTGGGTCTTGAAGTTGTGTCTGCAGCTCAACAGCTTCCACTTGATCCACCGCATCTGCTGCTTGAATTTTCTGTGAAGGGTGGTCAATTCAGGGAATATTTCCAAGTCGAATTCGGCCTTAAAAAGATTTTTTAAATAATTGAAATATTACAAAAAACTTACAGCACATGACCGTTCATAAGGGAAGAAAGGGATCGGGTGAGAGAATCACAAAATTTTTGCGATTTAACACGCAAATGTGTCTTAACACGGACCATGTTGATAGAAATGAGGCGCACAAGTAACTAGGGTAACTAAATACGATAGTCACTAACTCCGCCCACTCTAGGTCACATTCCTCCACCTACCGTACGACACCTCCTCCTCCTACCGTAACCACTAGAAACTCTTACTCGCCAAAGGGAGATTATTTGAATGGGATAGCAAAAAGTGAGTATATAAGATTTAGCGAAAATAAAAAATACATAATATCACTAAACTATAGAGAAAATCATATTATATCTTCTTGGCAATATGCCAATAGATAGATATTTTCATATGTGCCAATAACATGAAAGTATGTGTTTTGCATTATTGAACTAAATGAACTTTAGCACATTTATCAATTAAAATTATGAAAAATTAAGCATTATTACAATTAGAATGAAAAGAAATTGATGGTACATTTATTTATTGTCAATAAATTCCATGAAAATATGTATATCATGTTAAATAATATTAGAAAACGGGTGGTAGGTGGGCCACTTCCCGTTACAGTAAAAAGGTGAATTAAATCATAAACGACAATTAAATATCAGAATTTATAGTTAGTTATTCTCGTGAGGGATAGAATCCCTGCTCAATCAATCCCATGGCCCTGGCCCGTTCAATGAGGAAAATACAGATGACGTTGCAAGCACGCACATGGATTCTGTCAAGCTTCTCGATGAGGAACTGAAATTGAATGAACTTCATTGCCCAACATATTAACATTTCAAAAAATAGAAACAATCGAACCGATGCACGCAGATGACGACAGTTTCCTCTGAGGCATTCCGCCTTCAAAGTATCCAATCTTTCCTTGACACTCACAAATTCGTCAATAAAAGGGCGAAGTTCCTCAGTGAGAATGTGCTCATCTCCCTGTCGAAGGACTTCTCTCTTAAAATTATTCGGGGATTTTTAACTTGCGAATAAAATCACTTACGAATTCTTCGATGTGGTAATCGATTTCTTCTTGAACGGATCGACGAAAATCCTCGCAGCTCAAGTCCATCTCTAATGCCGTATGAGTCCAATACTGCACGTAAAACACGAGAGACCACAATCAAGCAAATGACTAGCCTATATGATAAAGGTGAACTCGGTGTTTGCACAATGTGAACAAGTGTTACCGTAATCAATCTGCAGTATTTCTTGTAGTCGATCAGATTTCCTTTCTCGGTCCAGAGAAAGGAAGAGGGGATTATTTCACACTTCAGGAATAACTGAAATCTAATTGAAACATAAATAATCACCGGATTTGAGCAAAAAAATATTCTTAGAAAAAATTTCAAAAAAAAAACTATTAAAAATTTTTTTTTTCAAATGAAAAATGGCGACTAAAACCGTTTTTATTAATTTCCCAAATTGCCAAATTTTAGAACCGAAAAGGATTAGTGTCAAAATTCAAATTTGCAACTAAATTTGACGAAGGAGATCGCAAAACTTCGAATCGGCTCTTACGCAGCGATTCTGCGATTCTGCTTCTTTTCAATAGATTGAATATATTTTTCACAAATACGCATTTTGTACTTGGTTGTCGACACTCTTCCGTCTACTTCAATGCTTTTCTCAAGCCCATCGCATTTTTCATTATAATAAAACGTTAATCATGCGTATTAATCATTCTAATCATTCTCAAAATTATTATCACCATGGTTATATGAACAATGTGTGGCGTATTGCACATTCTGCTTCTTATACGCTTATGGTCTGGCAGAGATATGCGCATTTTGTATGAATGTCTAGTTACTTCTCAGTCTCTCTATTGAAGGAGCAGGCAGCTTCGTCTCCTCCGCTTGCTTCTTTCTCATTTTAATTTCTATGCTTTAAACAAATTTGATGTTCTAGGTATGGCCACACAAGACCAAAATCTAATTTCAATGACCTGCAACGATGTCGATGCTCTTTTCGATGCGCTGACCGGGGGACAAAAGGTTAGAATCCACAGCAGAATCACTGAATCCTCATCGTTTCTTTTAGGCAGCCCCTCTTCCAAAAACGCACTCCTTGGTTGGAGCTGGCAAAGTTTCCGGCGAAATGATGTGCCCATTTCACAAATCTTTGCCGGTCAAGGGAGTCGTCTTCTTAAAGAACGTTTACTGCGGAAGTCAATCTTTCATATCGTATTGCGACGACTGCATCAAAGACCCGTTCATGTACGACATCAGCGATCCGCTCTACTCCGATTTTCATCATGCTGTCAAGATTCTCTATCCGTTCGACACCGTGAGTAATTCGAAATTGCAATTATTTTTCATTCATGCGGGTAGGGCATATTATGAAATCTAGACACTATAATGAGAGGGTTTCGAATATCAATTTGCATTTTCTAATTTGATTATTAACACCCTTTTTGAATGTGACTCTTATATGTTTTAAATCAACAATATAGCCGACATTAGTGAAAGACCACAAAATTAATTGGTAATCATGGAATCCCAAAAAATCATAAGTTTTGCGAAGAGTAATTGACGGAAATTTTCTGAGACAAATTGATTTTCAGGTAAAAGTGCGACAGGATACTCTTCTGAACGATGTTTGGACGTTTTGGAAAAGAAAAATTCTAAATTACTACCCAAAAAGTGAGATTGTGGAATTTTGCATTTTGATAAAAAATTGTGTTTAGAAACTGTGTCAAAATTCGATTGGGCGCAAGCTGAAAAGAAAGTCGAAGAAGAGCGTAAAAACTTGAAACCTAAAGAGAAAATGGTTAGATATTCTAGCAAGAATTCTTAAAGGGTTTTTTCTTAGGAGTATCACCCAAATGCTCTCCTTCGCAAGTTTTACTTTGACCGAATGTCCGATTCGATGTGTGGGAAGCCGTTCTGCGCGTGGCATGAGGCGTCCGTTGAATGCGCGATCATCACACTCGACCGCACCTATGATTCATGGGTGCTGGTGCCATTTTGCGAGGACTGCGTCAAGAAGGAGAAGAACAAACGCCCGGATTACACGGAGGACCTTCTCTACGCAGTGGAGGTGGCCATGAAGAAACTTGTATGTTTTTTATTTTGCAAGAGCAACCAGCTATCACTATTTTCATTGCAGAATTATCTTCATATCGCTTACTATTGCAAATGGCCGCTAGCCTACAAGGAGACGTACGAGAAGGTCTTCAAGCAGACCGAATAATCAACAATCCTCATTTTTTGAAAACAATCGTTTTAAACCAAAATCTGTCGTTCATATTCCTATTTGAAAACAAATTTCTACAAGCTAAATTTTCTAGAAGAAACTAGAAAATTCAGCGAAAAAACTCGACATTTAAAACTTCTCTTTGTTATTTATTTTGCTTATAATAATATCCAAAAGCAAAGCTTTGACGAAAAAATAATTTCATAATTTGAAATTTTTAAGCATTTATTGAAAGTTGAATTTGCACAATTAAACAAAAAACTATGGAACCATTTTTTACCAATTTTAATATTACACCTATGTAGAATTATCTGAATTTTTTTCGCTATAGTTGTAATTATGTCCCAAATATGGGCTATTCCCTTAAGTATGTAACCAGTGAGTGGATATCCCCTGGTGAGGTAAGTTCTAGAGGAAAAAACTTTAATTATATATCAGTCGTATTTATATTAATCTTTTTAATCAAGTATAATTTCCCTCGCCATTTTTCATACAATCTATTTATTTTTCATTAATCTTTGGAGAATCTCTATATCAAATAGTAATTATTTCAGTATGTATAATAATCGTTCTCCAACCATTTCATTGCTGTAAAATTCCCATAAATCAAAAACAAAAATCCTGTTTCTTGAATTGTATTTGACAAGTTGACATCGGAATTGAATAAAGATGAGAGCAGGAATGAAAGCGATGTCAAATACCTCAAATCGCATAACAACTGAGATCTAATCGAAGAAATAATACAAACACATGGGACTCGGGTCCCTTATGGGGGTGAAGCCTCATTCACAAAAATCATCTTATTTTCCGCCACCATGTATCTACATATTATGTAGCAGATTCGCCCAACTTAGTCTACTATTTCGTTCACCTTCTTTGTTCATCTTATAGTTTTCATTGTTTACTGTTTACCTCATACTGTTTCTCATTCTCACGTTTGTTGCCGCCACGTTAATGAATTAAATTAAATTAAATCATAAAAATTAATTATCCGCTCCATTTACTCGCCGTAGCTGTCGATTTTCGCTCACTTCAACCAAATTGTTCTTATTAGAACACACCTTGTCGGATATTTCTAAAATAGCCGATCCCATACAGTTTTATTTTCCAATCTTACGTTCCCGAGTCTTATTAATTTTTCCTTCATCCGTCTGATCGTAGGAAACAGCATTTGTAATGGTTATTACCCAATATCTTGATCTTGTATATAAGAAAGGGATGTCATATAAATTCTTATTCACATTCTTATTCTCATTCCACATTTTTGAAAAAATGAATAACAATTGAATGACGAATCTTTAGCAAACGGATTGTAATTCCAATTTGAACGGCGTCGAGAACAATTCCACATTTTTCATCTGAAATGCATCTTTTAAAAAATGAACCAATAAAAGGGCCGACGCGAATTCATATCAAAAGCGGCAAGAAATTCAAACAATTTGTTTCGATACGAATCGCACAACGTGCGCAAAGACAATGTAAGCAGTCCGCATATTGTGTTCTCGTTTGCTGATTTATCGCATCAAATGCAAGAGAAGATTTTTTTGAGCATTTTGTGGCTTTCTCATTCTTCACTGTTCTCACGCCTGTTAGAAAATTCAAATATTTTTCACTTATTTTACCATTTTGCTATACGGAATTTTAATGGCGCCTGAATAAGAGAAAAATGAAACAAAAATTGACAACATTTAATTGCATCTGAATCCTATCAAAATCCCATGCTATCCAGCTCTGCTAAATCATACTTACGCATGAATGCCATGGTCTATTAGGTGAGCTCGTCTCCAAGCAACGCGATCCATTTCATCTGCATTCTCCATACGGTGCATACACGTCGCCACCCCATCAATCGTCTTCTGATTACCATTCCTAGTCTGATCTTCTTTCATTGAACAAGTTCCATATTTTCAGCAAAATGGATCAAAACCAAAGAGAACAACGCCGCATACACGTCTTGAACGTTTGTCAGGCCTTTATGCTTTTTGTGAGCAAATTGAAAGCTAGACGGATTTTAATGATTGAATTGCAGAAGTACGGTCATCTCAATGGAATGCCAGAAGCGACAAAGGATGAGATAATTCGTCACGTTGATGGACACATCCGGGATATAATCAACGAGACTTTCAATTCAAACAGCGATCTTGACGGTATCATGGTAATTAATCCATTTAGCATTAATTGTACACACTCGTTCAAATTGCAGTCTGTTTTCATTCGCCATGCCAACCAGGTCATCGATCGTCTTAACAATGACCACGACGAAAACAGATATGATGCTGTTTAAATTTTTATTTGTGTAAAATTATGTGCTTTTTTTCTTATGGTACTGAGCAGGTTTTGCAAAACAAAACTAGAAAAGCCAGTAAAAATACTAAAAATCGCTAAACAAATTGAAAAAATTCCAATAAAAGTAACGATTTTACATTTCTTTTTTTTACCAGTTAATAAATTTTTATTTGCAAAAGCTGAATAGTACCATTAATTACTATTTATGACTAATTGATTAAGCACGTTTTTGATAAATAAAGAGCATTTCATCAATAAATTATATTTTTTGAGTGGATTCCTTTTGTGCCGGATAACACGTGCGCCATATCGAGAAACTCGCAAACAACCGTCTTGAAAATGATTATTCATCGAATGAGATATAATTGGACGACGAAATACTCTCGTTTCTATGAGAAATGCTCTCGTTTCTATGAGAAATGCCAGAATCAAATGATCGGCATATCATCCATTTTGTTCATTAATATCACGCAGTTGCCGTGAAAGAAGATTAAAGCACAGGTGGTGGGAAGCCCTTTGATGGCTGCCTACAATCATGCTCATTAACTCAAACTCGGGTGACTTTTAGAGGTGTCACATGATTACAATGACATTGGATGGGAGGACGAATGATATCTAATGAAGATGAACGGGTTTGAGGAGTTATAACCCCCTCGAGATTATCCGCATAAAGCCTCCAATTATTGAACGTCTTGTTGAGTAAGAAAATTGCAAACTAAAATATAGCAGAATAATATTCTTTTCGAATTGTCACCCCTACTATAGCTCCATTATGGTTGTGGCGTTGTCCAACGAAACATTCCACTCTTCTATAGAAAAGTTGTTGGGTGTGATTATTGAATTCTCTCCAAAACGATAGAATAACTTGATTTTCTGGAAAAATGAGTCGAAACTGAAAACCACTTTATATAGTAAGCGTTTCATCAAAAATAAATGTACTCTCTGATAGATGATGAGATGCAGAATATCGAATATTGACGCCCAAAAGTGGTGACAATTAATGAAATGCTCGAATTGGAGCGCTCTGATTCTCCCTTCATAGTCAAGGATTTGCATAGGGAATCGAACTGCTGTTCTGGCAAGGATGAGGTATCCCCGAAGGATTTCAAATTGAAAATTCAGAAAACCCTGAAAATCCAATCATTTCTCTGCTATATCGGTTAACGGTTCGGCGTTCTTCGACGGATATCATTTCGCAAAACCAATACATGATGTGTCTGCAAAAAAAATTAACAATCGCTGTAAAAAAATACGGACGAGAAAAAATTCCATCAATCGAAAATAGGTCTCGCGGCGATTTGGGATTTGGCTGAGTACTAAATGCATATCATGTGAGGGCATGCATTTTAGGTATTTTCTTTGTAACCGCAATAGCCAGCTTTGGGGGCGTGGCCTAGCAGCGCACTACATGTTGGAATGACCGTAACACACAGATGGTGTAAGTGCACCAATTTCAACTCTATAAGTTGCACCAATTTCAATTCTATTTGAAAATTTCATTTTTATTCACTAGATTTAGTAGAAATGATTTTTTAAATTTTTTCTTCAAAATTTAAACCTTTTAGCGTTCTATGTTTCGATTAACGAGAAGTTTTTTCTTCTCATTTTTTGTCTCTACTCATTTTTTTATAAAAATTGTCAAATTCTAGTTTGCAGACTTAATTTAACCATCATGGAGCCTGAATGTGAGAGATTTTGGAACGCCGCGCTGGTTCGAATTGGACAATTAACCCTAGACACGGTAATTATAAAATTTTCGTTGATTTTCAGTTGTTTCAAATTTATTCCAGATGTTCACGACAATTCCAAACGATGACGAAGCAATGAACTATTTGCAGCACGTTCACAACCAATTCGGCGCAATATTTCGTAGAAAAAGCGAATGTTCGAATGGCAATCACCATCACGACCAAGTTTTGGTAAAAAAATAGTATATTTTATAAAGTTTAATCAACATTTTATAGGAGATTCTTGACGATATTCGAGAGAGAATGAACCGAATGCTTTTCCGCTATCGACACGTCGTCTAATCAGTCGTCCCATGCGAAATTGTGCTCTCGGAGCATCAAGTTGTTCCCAAAATGACCACAGTTTATCGAATGTTTGCATATATAATATTATATATTCCCTTTGTTGCCATGTTAATAAATGAATGTTTAAAAAGTAAATGTTTTGAAATAATCACTATAAGTAGTTGGAAAATTAAAAAAAAAATGCGATTCTCTAAAAATTGTAAAAAAATTTAGCATCGGAATTATTGAAAATTTGACTAGAAGCATCATTAGTTGTCTCATAGCCCTGCCGAACACTTCGAATATATCTTAGAAATTTTTCCAGGATGTTGTCCGCAGCATGGTTTGTTGATATAGAACTGAACCAAAAATATGTAGTTGACTGCATATTCTAGTTTTTACGACAATTTTATTATATATTTGTCATGTTTAAAAGGATTTGGAAGGATTTTCCGAAATTTTGAGTGATAAAACAAAAGTCTCGACTAAATCGAACATTTTTCCTGAAATCATCCTATCGGGAAGCCAAAAAATGGCGATTTTCTTTGATTCAGGACCGCAGAATAAATCTGAAAATCTGTTATTCTGAAGACCTTCCAAAATGCAGAATCGAAATTGTTGAAAGTTCTGCTAGAGACTCATTAGTTGTCAAATTGTCCGGCCGAACACTTCGAACTTGTTCCAACATTTTGCCAGGATGTTGTCCGCAGCATGATTTGCTGATATTTCTGGCTACAAAGTTTAAAGTTGATTGCGTTTGTTTTAACTTTCACAACAATTTTATTGAATTCGTTTTTGAGAAAAGCACAGTATTTTTTCAATTAGTAAAGCAGGTAATCTAGTATAGTTTGTTTCCATTTTCATCACACTTTTTTTATGGCATTCAGTTGTTCGATATGTTGTCGACAGTTCATCCTTTTAACAATCTTGCATGGCAAAGATACATCGTCTCGTCAAATAATTCGCTCATTTTTATTCAACTATGAATTTCTACTATTCACATGGTTGAAGGAGTGTCGTCTACAGCTTAGAAACTTGCTATTCACAGAGGTTTAAGGCCGAATCATATTAAATTTCCCCAAAATGTGTTTCTTCATCCTCCTTTTGTGAAAGTCTTGTCGATAATTATTTATAAATTCCGTCAAAGACAGACAATTAAGAATTTTTTGTTATTTTGATTTTTATCACATTATGATTGTTAATGAATGTCTAAAACTAATAATTTGTTCGAATTCTCTTTTATATAAACTCGAAATGTCTATTAATTTCGTATGCATTTTTCCTTGTGAATAATTGACATTGCCCCAATTTTATTCGGAGTTCCTTTAATAATATCAGAATATCCATAATTAATATATACAAAGTTATAATATTAGGTCTAGAAATTAATTTCCGCGTTTTTTTTGTTGTTGATATTTTGTCAAAATGATATTATTTTTATAAAACGAATTTTATGTTTTCATTTTCTCTGTATTATCAGCTTTCTACTAATATATAACATTCTTCACGTACTTAATAAAAAATCATTATTTTGGGTTCAGAATATGTCCACCTTTGTGCCAGAAAAACTTAATTTGCGGGAAGCTCTTGTTTTCCTCTTCGAACTCAAGAAGAAAACCACTGACGATGCTTGCCGAAGCTTACGGCGATGCTGAACCATCGGCGTCACGCAAAAAGCAATTTCTCATCGATTGAAAGCAATGTTGAAGATTCAAAAGAAATGAAAATGGAGGCCCTTTGATCCCCTCGAACGCAACAAAGAGCAGAGAAAAACAATTTCACAAATCTTGCTGGACAGATTTCAAAGAAAGTCTTTTTTGCACTACGAGTGTACTACGACAATCAGAAGCGAAGAAAATCGTGGGTTAGTCCCGGTGAACCGATAACTTCGAAACCCAACATCCACCGGAAGAAGGTCCTACTGTGCATATGGTGGAAGCAACAAGTAATTCTGTACCCTGAACTGCTTCAACCAAGCGAAACAATCACTGCGAATTGCTATCAACATCAACTAGTGCAGTTGCGGCATGAAATCGCAGTAAAAAGACCAGAATAGGCGGGTCGACATAAAAAAGTCATATTGCTTGATGACAACGCAAGGCCGCATGGTGCTCAAGCGGTGAAGCTGAAAGAGTTTAAATGGAAAGTTTTACAGCACCTGCTGTACTCTCCGCACATTGCCCCGTCGGATTATTATCCTTTCCGGTCAATGGGAGCAGCGCTTTCGAGATCATCAAGATGTCAAAAAACGGCTAGATGAATGGAGTGCGTCCAAACGAGAAAAATTCTATTATGATGGAATCAATAAGTTGCCCAAACTCTGAGAAAATTTTGTTATTAATGACGAAAATTATTTTGAATAAAAGTTTTGTTTAAGTTTCTCCAGTTTTTAAAGTCTAATATGCGAAAAAAACGAAAATTTCAGATCTAATAATTTATCCCAATTATCTTCAAAAATTATGTAAATTAGACCATAGTAAGAATCCTTAGAAAAATGTAAATAAAATAGAAAATATAAATGTTTTACGCAATCAACTTCAAACTTTTCTTGGAAAATCCTTCTAAATCCCTTTTTTCAAATATTCAACAAAATTGTTGTAAAAACTAGTATATGCAGTCAACTTCATATTTTTTGTTCAGTTCTATATCAGCAAATCATGCTGCGGACAACATCCTGGCAAAATGTTGAAACAATTTTGAAGCTTAATTTGTTCAAATTTCTTTAAAATCCTAAAAAATCGTATTTTTTTAATGTTCCAACTGTTCGTAATAGCGATTATTTTAAATCATTAACTACTCTACATTCATTTATTTTAAACATGACATTAAAGGTATTTTAGGAAAACAAATTATTTCAGAATTACAGATTTTTTTTTCGTTCTTTTCCTTATGTCAGTAGAAAATCGACATTTTTAGGTTTTCCTGATATGATGATTTCAGGAATTTTAGCTGATTTTTGCGCTTCATCAGCAAACATGTCCTCCAAACTTTTCCCAATAGCAACAAATAAATATTAATAGCCAAAGCCTAAGTATTTGCCCTATCCACCTAATAATTCATAAACTATTCTTCTAAATCATAAGCATTTAATATTCAATCTTGATTGATTCAAAATATATAATAAATATTTGAATTTCAAGGAGTAAATTCGAAGCTTTGCCCCAAATTTATCCGAAATTCCCTGATAATATCCAAATATTCAAAAATTAATTTAAAAAGTTGAAATAGTTTATTCCAATCATCTTCAATTATAAAATAAGTAAAAAAATGTTATTAAAATTGAAAATATAAATATTTGAATGAATTTCAAGGAGTAAATTTGAAGCTTTGCCCCAATTTTATCCGAAATTCTTTTAATAATATTCATAATATATAAATTCGAGGATCGAGGCGGTAAAACGACAAAGAAGCATTTCAGTTATGGCCAGTTGATGCATGAGTTTTTTTTGTTCATACATCTTCTATTGCAATTCGTTTTCGATGACAACTTTGATTTTTTTCAACGGAAGCACAAGTGTTTCTGGTTTTTTATAAAAGCGTATACTTTTTAAAATTTTATTACCAAACTAAAACACAATTAATTTGGCGGACTTATTGGTGAGCTGGGCCATCCTGAAATAAACAAAATTTAAATGAATTCTGACATTACTCAAGATTTCATTCAGTCAAATTCTAAATGTGTTACGCGTCTTTTATAAAGAAAGCTACTCTTACTAGAATATGCATGCTATCTGATATTCGAAAAAAATCTCAAATTGAGCAAATATGGGCTCTAAGAAAAAACTTCTAAAATTTTCACTCACTGGTGGGTGGCGTCCACTCAAGCGTCCAATCGCGCTTGACAGCTTCCGTTTAGCATCGGTGAACTGAAAAATGTCTGTTATTTGATAATATTAAGATATCGTGACTACCTTTTTCTTGATGACCGACATAAGTCCGGCTCCATTTGGCTGCCTCAAGATTCCCTGAGCGGAAGCAATCTAGAAAATAAATAAACTTTTAATTTTTCATGGGCTTGGGATATTTTTAAATGAGCGCGACTTACCGGGGTAGAAACCGGGACTGGTTGCTGAACAACCGGCGAAATCGGTCGAGAAGGAACTGGGGAAACGACCCGCGAAACCGGGGCCACAATCTTCACTTCCTTCTTTTCCTTCACATCTTCCTTCTTGATCTCTTCCTTCTTGAATTCGACTTTCCCTTCTTCGTTCTTCTTTGACTCCAACTTCGCATTGATCGTTTCGTTCTTCTCGACCGGCTTCTTCTCGGTAAATACCCTCAATTGTCGCGTTCTACGGACTGTTACCTGAAGAACATCTACCTTGATGAGTTGAAACTGTCTTATTCTTACATTTTTAGCCGCTCCACGCTTCGAAAATTCTTCGACAGTACTGAAATTATAAATGGGTTTATTTTTTGTTTCAATTAATACAATTTAAAATTGAAATGTTAGAAAAAAACTCACCTCATGCTTCTTGCCATCGAATCTTCTTGCTCGGAGGACATGTTGAGGCAGTTTGACATTCGTAGTGAATGAATGACCGGTTTGCCCAAAGGTTGGCTTGTGGGCGGAGTCTTCTTCTCTCTTTGAACAGTCACGCCCCTTTGCATCACCCTTTCTCTCTCTCTCTCTCTCTCTCACTGCAATGAGAATACGGTATCTCGGCCCAAAAGGAGGTGCGAATGAACGGAGGCACGGTTGAGGTGATTTACAATACCACTTGGAATTCGGCATCGTTTTGAAGGAAAATAGGTGAAATTCGTCGCAATATGGTTATTGTGATATACTGGTGAAATAAAAAAATGTTGGAAAATTTGAAAAAAAAAATTTGTTAGCATGAAAAGAAGTATTGCAACTACTTACATTACTTCACAGTATCGGGCGTAGTGATAAGAAAAAAAAGGGGTTTTTATTAATTTTGCATTTTTATCAGTTCAAGAGCTAATGCAGAACTTGGAGCAAATCGTCTGACACTCGATTAGAATTACAGAGTTTTAGATTTGTTTCTTCTTTTTCGTATTAATAGAAAAATATACATTTTTGAGCATTCCGATACACTGATTTGAGGAAGTGTTTCATTTATTCGAGTTTCGCGTTTCATCCAATAAAAAATTAATTTCTCTTCTTCCTCTTCTCTTTGGTTTAATTTTTCACTTGATCGACAATTGATTGCTATTCCTCCAAGTTATTACGGAATCGAGTTTGCAAAATTATGGTATTATTGTTTTGCTTCCAGGAGCTCGGGAAGAAACAGAATTTTGAGCACATTACTTAGTGAAAATTATTTGATTTCGCTTTGCAGCATCGCCGAGCAAAAAATTTCATGAAATTGTCGTGAAAGTTAAAACAAACGCAATCAACTTTAAAATTTTCTGGTCAGCAATATCAGCAAATCATGCTGCGGAAAACATCCTGGCAAAATGTTGAAACAAGTTCGCAGTGTTCTGCAGGACAATTTGACAACTAATGAGACTCCTAGTCGTATTTTCAACAATCTCAATGCTGCATTTGATCTAATCGTCTGAAAGTGTTTCAGAATTACAGATTTTCAGATTTATTTTGCGCTTTCCGCTGAATAGAAAAAATCGATATTTTTGTGTTTTATGATATGCTGATTTCAGGAAGAATGTTCAATTTAGCATAATTTCACGTTTCATTGCCAGAAATTTCAAAAAATCCTTTCATCCACCAGAAGGTTCAATTAAATTGTTGTAAAAACTAGAATATGCAGTCAACTACATATTTTTGGTTCATTTCCATATCAGCAAATCATGCTGCGGACAACATCCTGGGCAAATTTCTGAGACAAATTTGGAGTGTTTCTGACAATTAATGAGGCTTCTAGTAAACAGCCAATAGACCGTGGTCATTTTAAGAACCACTCGATGCTCCGAGAGCACTGATTAGATTACGTGTCGGTACCGGAAAAGCATTAGATTTATTTTTCTATCAAATATCGTCAAAAATCTGCTATAAAATGATTAATTTTTACTAAAAAAGGTGTCGTGATGATGATTCCATGCGTGGGATTTATTGTTAACATATCGAAAATAGTTTAATTCGGAAAATTTCACAACAAAGCAAACAATTTTGTTTAATAGAGTGTTTATTTATATTTATTGATATATATAATCAGCTAACATCCGCACATGAAGTGGAAACTTCGGTCAGCGATATATCCGCCTGGAAAAAATGCAGGAATCAGTTGATGAAGAAAAAGAGCTTGACATATATGATACTCAATAGTTATGCAATAACACACCGCCTTCTTTAAGGCATTTTGATCCGAAAACAGAAAAAAAATGACGAAAGAACCGGGCAAAAAAATATTCACTCAGCGATTCGAAATCGACGATTTTTTTTTTCAATATTGGTGTCATCGTTTTGGTTTCACGGTTGATCCCACATACTTCCGCTTTTAGTCCAAAAAATTTTTAGCTTAACAGAACGTCATTCTAATCACGCATCACCCAAAAAATAAATTCGGAAAATTTTTCAAAATCCCTTCATCCACCAAAAAGATTCAATAAAATTGTTGTAAAAACTAGTATATGCAGTCAACTACATATTTTTGGTTCAATTCTATATCAGCAAATCAAGCTGCGGACAACATCCTGGCAAAATGTTGAAACAATTTTGAAGCTTAATTTGTTCAAATTTCTTTAAAATCCTAAAAAATCGTATTTTTTTAATGTTCCAACTGTTCGTAATAGCGATTATTTTAAATCATTAACTACTCTACATTCATTTATTTTAAACATGACATTAAAGGTATTTTAGGAAAACAAATTATTTCAGAATTACAGATTTTTTTTTCGTTCTTTTTCTTCATGTTAGTAGAAAATGGACATTTTTGGGTTTTTTTTACGATGATTTCAGGAATTTTAGCATGTTTTCGCGCTTCCCAATGGTAATATAATAATAAATATTAATAGCCGAAGCCTAAGTATTTGCCCTATCCACCTAAGAATTCATAAACTATTCTTCTAAATCATAAGCATTTAATATTTAATCTCGATTGATTCAAAATATATAATAAATATTTGAAATTCAAGGAGTAAATTCGAAGCTTTGCCCCAAATTTATTCGAAATTCCGCTGATAATATCCGAATATTCAAAAATTAATTTAAAAAGTTGAAATAGTTTATTCCAATTATTTTCAATTATAAAATAAGTTTAAAAAAATCAGTTATTAAAATTTTTTTTAATCGAAAATATAAATGTTTGAACGAATTTCAAGGAGTAAATTTGAAGCTTTGCCCCAATTTTATCCGAAATTCTTTTAATAATATCCATAAAATATAAATTCGAGGATCGAGGCGGTTAAATCGACAAAGAAGCATTTCAGTTATGGCCAGTTGATGCATGAGTTTTTTTCTGTTAATACATCTTCTATTGCAATTCGTTTTCGATGACAACTTTGATTTTTTTCAACGGAAGCACAAGTGTTTCTGGTTTTTTATAAAAGCGTATACTTTTTAAAATTTTATTACCAAACTAAAACACAATTAATTTGGCGGACTTATTGGTGAGCTGGGCCATCCTGAAATAAACAAAATTTAAATGAATTCTGACATTACTCAAGATTTCATTCAGTCAAATTCTAAATGTGTTACGCGTCTTTTATAAAGAAAGCTACTCTTACTAGAATATATCTGATATTCGAAAAACATCTCAAATTGAGCAAATATGGGCTCTAAGAAAAAACTTCCAAAATTTTTACTCACCGGTGGGTGGCGTCCACTCAAGCGTCCAATCGCGCTTGACAGCTTCCGTTTAGCATCGGCGAACTGAAAAATGTCTGGTATTTGATAATATTAAGTCGGGGACTACTTTTTTCTTGATGACCGACATAAGTCCGGCTCCATTTGGCTGCCTCAAGATTCCCTGAGCGGAAGCAATCTAGAAATTAAATAAACTTTTAATTTTTCATAGGCTTGGGATATTTTTAAAAGATAAAAAGCGCGACTTACCGGGGCAGAAACCGGGACTGGTTGCTGAACAACCGGCGAAATCGGTCGAGAAGGAACTGGGGAAACGACCCGCGAAACCGGGGCCACAATCTTCACTTCCTTCTTTTCCTTCACATCTTCCTTCTTGATCTCTTCCTTCTTGAATTCGACTTTCCCTTCTTCGTTCTTCTTTGACTCCAACTTCGCATTGATCGTTTCGTTCTTCTCGACCGGCTTCTTCTCGGTAAATACCCTCAATTGTCGCGTTCTACGGACTGTTACCTGAAGAACATCTACCTTGATGAGTTGATACTGTCTTATTCTTACATTTTTAGCCGCTCCACGCTTCGAAAATTCTTCGACAGTACCGAAATTATAAATGGATTTATTTTTTGTTTCGATTAATACAATTTAAAATTGAAATGTTAGAAAAAAACTCACCTCATGCTTCTTGCCATCGAATCTTCTTGCTCGGAGGACATGTTGCGGCAGTTTGACATTCGTAGTGAATGAATGACCGGATTGCCCAATGGTTCGCTTGTGGGCGGAGTCTTCTTCTCTCTTTGAACAGTCACGCCCCTTTGCATCACCCTTTCTCTCTCTCTCTCTCACTGCAATGAGAATACGGTATCTCTGCCCTGAAGGAGGTGCGAATAAACGGAGGCACGATTGAGGTGATTTACAATACCACTTGGAAATCGGCATCCCTTTGAAGGAAAATGTGTGAAATACGATTAATTAACAATATTAAGATAAATTACGCATCAGAAATTTAAAAATAAACATTAAAAAAAACAATTTTTTGTTGAGTTTCTGTTGATGATGAATTATGTGTTTCGAAACTAAAAATCTCTATACACTATAGAATTTGATAAAATTGTAGTTAGGCTGGAAAATGCAATGAACTATATATTTCTATGTTCGACAAAACCTAACACACTGTATGACTGTTGTCTTGAATCCGTAGGCATCTGTAGGCATTTTCGTCCCACATTTTTTCAATCTTGTTATAATAAGAGAGCGTAAAGCTTCAATTCCACAAATTTCTCGCTTTATCTGTGCTCGATTAGGAATTTCGGAAACTAATTAAAATTACTGGCGAAACCACTCAAATTGTGAGTTTATTTCTTCGGCTCTGAGACATCAGCAACTTGATTTAATTGATGATACGACGAGAAAAGTATTTCATTGCTTTAAAAATTCCATTTCTCTTGCTCATTTCCAAAAACAAGCAGCGATCATTGGATGGTCTTCAATACTCGAAATCGAGTGTCTTTATTTCTTACTTTGACCGTCTTGAGCGTCGTAGCAACCGGAAAATAATAAAAAAATTGGAATTAAAAACGAGTATATTTATCAATAAGGAATGCAATAGAATTTGACGAGGGGGAACGAGGGCGAGTGAATTATTTTGAGCGTTTTTTCCGAAGGTTAGTCTTGGCTTTTTTCTCCAGGTCCATCAGAATTTCCTTGCACATGTTGACAATAAACTGAAAAGAATATATGCATTTCGATAGATAATTACTTTCTACTCTACCAAATGTTTACAATTTTTGGATTCTATGTCAGATAATGAAGAGAAATTCTGTTATTTTAATTTATAAATGAAAAAAACTTTGTTCCTTATTCTGAAATTTTTAACCAATTTAAAAACTAATTTTCCAATTAACAAGTTTTTAGAAACAAAAACCATTGAGCTAGCAAAAAGTGAATTTATTTTGAGACTGTTTCTTATGTTTATCGGCAGGTATCGGCACAAATCTAATACATTTGCCTTTTTAAATTTAATTGAAATCGACTCTTTTGATATGAAATTGCAGTTTAGGTTTTTTGAAGAGCTTTCGTAAACTTTTCAATCAAATACATACCATGAGCTTCGAATGATCGCAACGATTGCGGTGGCAGTTGTTGATTATCTCGAAAACATTCTGTTGAAAAGTGCGGTAGAGTTGAACGTTGTCCGAGATCTTGGCAAATTTCCTTTTTGAAGCTGTCAGGCGACGCTAAATTATTTTTTTTTTCACTTTCTCATGATTTCACGAAATTTACCAGCCGAATTTCGTACTCCCCAAGCGTGAACAATGCGAGATTGCCGAAGCTTTCGCAGTGAGACTCGGACATTTCTAAAATGTGTGAAAATCAGAGAATGAAACCAAAGAAAGCAATCGAACGCGAAAGGGGGAATTGTTGAAAAACGAGCAATATGTAAATCCATTTATCTGTTCTTTGATCGCCAAATCGTGACCTCAGGACGTTGCAACCAATCAATGCGCGCTAATGATTTGATCTTGCCCGCTAATGGTCAAATGTTGCGAAAAATTGAAATGCCCAGTTAACTCCGAAGACCCACAAAAAGATGCGAACTTCAAAGAATTCGTCGATACATGGACAGATTATCGTAACAAGGAAGAAACAATTGAGTCGACCAGAACTTACAGTCGTAAAATCAAACAGCTTCTTGGACTTCAATCCCCCACACAACCTCCAACTAAACAAGCGTAGAGTAGGATATATTTTAGACTTTTTAATTCTTTGAACACGCAGGCAAACAATTTCTATTAAAAAAATACAGTGATCCTGAAATCATTAACTTTTGCAGTGGAAGTGTTGAGAAATTAAGTATATTTTCTTCTTTTTTTTACATCACTCTATTTACGCAACAAATCATGCTGCGGACAACATCCTAGGCCAACTGTTGAAACAAATTCGTTTTTTTGACAATTAATGAGGATATTTAGTAAACAGCCAATAGACCGTGGTCATTTTGGAAACAACTAGAGATTCTTTTTAGATTACGTGTCAGTACCGGAACCATTCAATTTATTCTATCAAAAATATATTATTCTATCAAAAAAGATATTTTAAAATGGTTTATTTAGAAAAAAACGAATTCAAGATTTTCTACGTGAACGGCACAGTCCTGAAATAATAAAAATTATCTATGAACGTCAGCTATTTTAATAAATTAAAATTGAGGAAATTGCTCTATAAAAAAACTCATCGGCTCAAGCTGGCCTCCGGTCAAATGTCGAATCGCGTTTTTAAACTTGCGTTCAGCCCTTGCGAACTGAAAAATATGTCTTGGTTTTTTTTTGTGAAATTGTTTCTGAGTAGTATACCGTTTTTTTTCGAGGCTTTCGAACTGTGACCTAAATTATATAAAAGGAGTTTGTCTTAAAAATTTTCAGCTAATATTTGCTCTTACATTTCTTAAAACCGCCGAAAACTCCTATAATAATTCCGCGAGTTATCAAACGCTCATTAGAAAATTCAGATAATACTTACGTCATACTCTCATATAATGACGCCTCGCGACTCATCTTTCTGCTCTTTAACTCTAAGGACTTTTTTCCCAATAATTCCAGTGTTAAAAGCCAAAAATGGTTTGCTCTAATTTACCTACAAATTCAAAAAATATTCTCCTAAATCTTAAGCATTAATATGTCAATGCTCATACAATATGATTTATTCAAAAGAAACAGTGAATATTTGATTTTTAAGGAATAAATTCTTCGCCTCAAATTTGTCCAATTATTTTATTAAATCTAAAAACTAGGATTGAATAAGGATCTTTGACTTCCTTTCATCCAAGTTTTTCCCATAATATCAAAGAAAATATTGAATTCTAACCCCCCCCCGTTAGCCCTAAACTATTCAAAATTTGAAAAATATTTACTTAATTCTTGAAAATTTAAATTTCAACTCGATTCATTCCAATTATAATAATATTTGAACTTTAAAGAATAAATTCAAAGCTTTTCCCCAAATTTATCCAAAATTCATCTATTAATTATCAATTATTCATTAATTAATATGCAAAAGTTGAAGGAGTAAATCTAAAAGCTTTGCCTTCAATTTATCCCAACTTTTTCAATAATGTTATAAAATTTACACGCCCCATCATCCTTTGTCCCTCTCTCCTATTCCAATGAGAATACGGTATCTCTAGGCTTAATGAGGTGTGCTTAAACGTATTGAGACACACATGGGCCGATTGAGGTGATTGTACATACAGTTTCCTACACTCTCAATGCTGTAGTAAAAATGACTACAGGTAGGAGAGGTAGAAAAAACAATAATTGTTAGCAATTCCTCTCTCAATTAACTTGATGATAAAAAAGATGCATTCACGTTAAATTGGAAAATTATGTCACGTCGTCGAGATAATGCTATATTTATACAATTTATTTATTTATTTTTCTTTTCGCAAGCGGTAGTTCTGATATATCGCCCGTTTTGATGAGTTTCCAAGAAAAAAATGATTCTTCACGTTTATCATACACCGAGATAAATTATTAAAAGAATGGGAGTGATTATAGGAACTGAGAACAAGAAGTCTGCAACAAAATGAACAAATAAAAACAATTTTTGGGTATTATGCTAACAAAAATAAATTAAGATTCATCAAATTCTTCGCAAAAGAAATAATTGGTCAAATTATATTGATTGCGCTTCAGTCTAGATGAGCGTCTCAGCTCTTTGGGCTCTGTGTCTAGGAAAGAACGGATTTGAATTATCATATTTCATTTCTAGTACCTTCAGTCACAGAATCAACACTGGGTTTCGATGAGTTAGGAGTATTTCTGCATTTTTTTTGCACCGGCGCTGAAAATCATATTTTTCTTCTTTCAATCAAAAATAAGCCGTTTATTTCAGTGTTATAAATTGCGCTTTCTCTAATTATACATTGAACGTACCTTTAGAATTGTCGTTGGAATGTTTATTTTGATTAGGGCGTCCACGCCTCTTCAATTTCTTCTTTGGCTCACTACACTCTTCATTAGTTGGAATGGTAGTTGTATTGACACCACCAGATGTTGAAGTAGTCGGTTTGGGTGACTCGTCATCGGAAACCACCACGTAAACTGGTGGCGTAAGGCGAGACTCGTCCATTGAAGCATTACTTTCTTGCGGTTGATCCAATTGAATATCATCTTGGCTTTCTTCAATATGAGATAGAACTTCCGCAATTCCTGTTCTGCCTCCAACTCACGCGCAAGTCTCATCTTTGCGCGAACCGCATCGACTTTTTCACGAAGGCGTTGCTCATCAGCATCTTCTGTGATAATATTTTCACCTCCATCAGGCCCTAAAAGAATGAAAAATTTGATTTGAAGCAAATTTAATAAAAAATGGTTGGCGTCTTAAAGATTTTGGCGCCAAAAATCATATAATAAACTCACGCAAAAGGCGCATTTCCCCGCGGATTGCATCCATGCTTTCTAGATAGCGTTGTTCTGCCAATGAGTCTGGAAATTGTGTTTCGATTTTTCAAGTGAATTCTAGTCATCTATATACCCGACAGATGAGTTTCTAAAAAAGAAAACCGTATGGCCGAGATTTTCAATTCAAAGGCAATAGCCTTGATATCCATTTCTTCTTTTGTTCTATTCGGTTGTAAATGGAACATGTGTAAAACTTGGTAGATAACTGAAAATAAAAAAAATGAAGAAGATGCCGAAGGAAAAGATATAGTGAAAATGGTTTAAGACAACCGACAAAGTAATAGTAACACGTGTCACGTGGCCTGCAACACACTGTTGACTAATTGTGTGCAAAATGTGTACCGGATGAAAGGTACCCCCTTGTGCAGAAAGAACAGGGAGTCCAATAGGCTCCGCCTGCTTTTGCCACTATACTCCACCCACTATTATGATCAATTTGGGTAATTTAGATAGATAAAAACAGCAAAAACGCTGAAAAAACTTCGTTATCTACTAAATTTACAAAATTTGTAGTTTGCTTACCTTTTAAACATTTGACCATTAGCGGGCAAGATCAAATCATTAGCGCGCATTGATTGGTTGCAACGTCCTGAGGTCACGATTTGGCGATCAAAGAACAGATAAATGGATTTACATATTGCTCGTTTTCCGACATTTCCCCCTTTCGCGTTCGATTGCTTTCTATGGTTTCATTCTCTGATTTTCACACATTTTAGAAATGTCCGAGTCTCACTGCGAAAGCTTCGGCAATCTCGCATTGTTCACGCTTGGGGAGTACGAAGTTCGGCTGGTAAATTTCGTGAAATCATGAGAAAGTGAAAAAAAAATAATAGCGTCGCCTGACAGCTTCAAAAAGGAAATTTGCCAAGATCTCGGACAACGTTCAACTCTACCGCACTTTTCAACAGAATGTTTTCGAGATAATCAACAACTGCCACCGCAATCGTTGCGATCATTCGAAGCTCATGGTATGTATTTGATTGAAAAGTTCATAAAAGCTCTTCAAAAAACCTTAACTGCAATTTCATATCAAAAGAGTCGATTTCAATTAAATTTAAAAAGGCAAATGTATTAGATTTGTGCCGATACCTGCCGATAAACATAAGAAACAGTCTCAAAATAAATTTACTTTTTGCTAGCTCTTAACGATGGTTTTTGTTTTTAAAAACTTGTTAATTGGAAAAATACTTTTTAAGTTAGTTAAAAATTTCAGAATAAGGAATAAAGTTTTTTTTCATTTATAAATTAAAATAACGGAATTTCTCTTCATTATCTGACATAGAATCCAAAAATTGTAAACATTTGGTAGAGTAGAAAGTAATTATCTATCGAAATGCATATATTCTATTCAGTTTATTGTCAACATGTGCAAGGAAATTCTGATGGACCTGGAGAAAAAAGCCAAGACTAACCTTCGGAAAAAACGCTCAAAATAATTCACTCGCCCTCGTTCCCCCTCGTCAAATTCTATTGCATTCCTTAATGATAAACATACTCGTTTTTAATTCCAATTTTTTTTGATTATTTTCCGGTTGCTACGACGCGCAAGACGGTCAAAATGAGAAATAAAGACACTCGATTTCGAGTATTGAAGACCATCCAATGATCGTTGCTTGTTTTTGGAAATGTGCAAGAACAATGGAATTTTTGAAGCAATGCAATACTTTTCTCGTCGTATCATCAATTAAATCAAGTTGCTGATATTGCGACGAATTTCACCTATTTTCTTTCAAAAGAATGCCGAATTCCAAGTGATATTGTAAATCACCTCAATCGTGCCTCCGTTTATTCGCACCTCCTTCAGGGCAGAGATACCGTATTCTCATTGCAGTGAGAGAGAGAGATAGAGAGAGAGAAAAGGGTTTTGCAAAGGGGCGTGACTGTTCAATGAGAGAGGAAGACTCCGCCCACAAGCCAACCATTGGGAAATCCGGTCATTCATTTACTATCAATCACCGCGTCCGTCGACTTTTTTCTTCTTTAACATTTCTTGTTTTTCCCTTCAATTTCATGATATTGTTGAAAAAAAGTTGGGATAAATTGAAGGCTAAGCTTTTACATTTACTCCTTCAACTTTTACATATTAATTAATGAATAATTGATAATTAATAGATGAATTTCGGATAAATTCGGGGCAAAGCTTTGAATTTATTCTTTGAAATTCAAATATTCATATAAGTGGAAGAATTCGAGTTGATATTGGAATTTTCAAGAATTAGGTAAATATATCAAATTTTAGCCAGATAAAGGGCTAACTGGGGGAATAATTTAATATTTTCATATTAATTCTAAAATAATTGACTTTTATTAAGAGAATTTCGAATACATTTGAGGCAACGCTTCGAGTTTACTTTTTGAAATGCGTATATTAACAATTTTTTTTAAAATTTTCTGTTTCGCTTCTTTACTGCTCATTCACTGCTCAACTGAATTTTCTCGTTATCGTATTCTTTCTCAATTCGACATACCAATATTTTTGATATTTCAGAAATGGATCCCCGGGAAATCGTTAATCTCCCAATTCTTTCGAATGATGCCTCTGCCGTCGAGTATCGACCGCACCAAGTGAGGAGCATGACAAAGAGCGAGCTAATTTCGGTGGCGAAATTTCTCGTATTGTTCAAGAAGCGAGATCATCCGCGGATGCTCCAATACTTTCTACACAGTCTCTTCGATGGAAAGCAAACCGCCGTTCGGATTCATCCCTATTTGTACAATCCATACTTCTTTCTGACAAACCTCAATGGACATTTCACCGTTTTCATAGGAAAAAAGTTCAACTCCCACGACATCAACCAGCTGTTGGAGGTGCGAGATAACAATGCGGACGTGCTGTTGCGTAATGCCGAACATCCGGATCCAGGGGCCGAGGATGATATTGAAATGCTGAACTTAATTGACTCCCACTACCGCCATCGAACAAGTTTATCAGAGTTTCGTTTAAATTTAATCCATAATTATATTGTAACCAACATTAACGCAATGCAAATCTAATTGTTTATATCCTTGGCATTAATTATTATCTAGTGATTCTCAATTTTATTTAAGCTCTTCACATGAATTATTAATGAAAATCTCTTGTTTTTTTTACAATAATGTTGATAATAAATACTACTGAAAAAAATGATTCCAATGCTTTTAAACACTCTTAAAAACATATATACTCAACTTTCGTACGCCATAAAATTCCGTTTGAGAAAAAAACTTGAAGACGTTAACACGGAAACCTGAAACTTAACTAAATTAAACATTTCTCCTGAAATCAGTATATCGGGAAAGCCAAAAATGTTGATTTTCTTCGATTCAGCCGACAACCACAAAATGAATATGAAAATCTGTAATTCTGAAAAACCGTCCAAAATGCAGAATCGAAATTGGTGAAAGTTCTAGAGACTCATTAGTTGCCTAATCGCCATATCAAACACTTTGATCTTGTCTCAACATTTTGCCAAGATGTTGTCCGCAGCATGAATTACTGATATTGATGACCACAAAATTTCAAAGTTGATTGCGTTTGTTTTAACTTTCACGACAATTTTATGAAAAACAAAGGTTGAAATTATTGTATGATTTTTGGCGCCAAAATTTTTGAAACGCCAACCATTTTTTATTAAATTTGCTTCAAATCAAATTTTTCATACTTTTAGGGCCTGATGGAGGTGAACATATTGTTACAGAAGATGCTGATGAGCAACGCCTTCGTGAAAAAGTCGATGCGGTTCGCGCAAAGATGAGACTTGCGCGTGAGTTGGAGGCAGAACAGGAATTGCGGAAGTTCTATCTCATATTGAAGAAAGCCAAGATGATATTCAATTGGATCAACCGCAAGAAAGTAATGCTTCAATGGACGAGTCTCGCCTTACGCCACCAGTTTACGTGGTGGTTTCCGATGACGAGCCACCCAAACCGACTACTTCAACATCTGGTGGCGAAATGAAGGTTCCAGAGGTGGGGACAAAGGCTCCAACGCCTGTAAGTGGATTTATTTACAGCAAAATTGGGATTTGTATGATCCGAACGACACGAAATTTTGCGATTTTTTTACACTTTGCAGGTCCCCGCGAATTCAACCCAGACTGTTTTGTCTAATGATGAAATATCTTGATTTCGTTTTTTTTCTAAATAAATCATTTTAAAATACATTTTTGTTGAAATGATAAGTATACAGAATATATCCACATTTTTTGGTGAAAATTGCTAATTTTAACGCAGATTTTAGACGATTGATAGAATAAATTGAATGCTTTTCCGGTACCGACACGTAATCTAATCAGTGCTCTCGGAGCATCAAGCGGTTCTTAAAATGACCACGGTCTATTGGCTGTTTACTAGAAGCCTCAATAATTGTCAAAAACACGAATTTAAGTCAGAAATTTGCCCTGAACAACAATTTAATTGAACCTTGTGGTAAATGAAATGATTTTTTGAATTGAAATTTTTGGCGATGAAACGTGAAATTATGCTAAATTGAACATTCTTCCTGAAATCAGCATATCATAAAACACAAAAATATCGATTTTTTCTATTCAGCGGAAGGCGCAAAATAAATCTGAAAATCTGTAATTCTGAAACACCTTCAGACGATTAGATCAAATGCAGCATTGAGATAGTTGAAAGTTTTACTAGAGACTCATTAGTTGTCTAATTGCCAAGTCAAACACTTCGAACTTGTTTCAGCATTTTGCCAGGATGTTGTCCGCAGCATGATTTGCTGATATTGCTGACCACAAAGTTTTAAAGTTGATTGCGTTTGTTTTAACCTTCACGACAATTTCATGAAATTTTTTGCTCCGCGATGCTGAGCTTCATTTTTATTATCCGCATTATTTTGTTGCTTGCAGAAATAATGTCGATTAACATCTTGCGCCATTGCAAAAGCTCTTTCAAGCAGTTTTTGATACTCATCATTGAGAGGAACAACGGCTCGTTTTCTTTCTTCGTGATCTTGTTGCATTCTGTAACCGAATGGAGCCGCGGCGCCCCGTATAAAAGGGCGCCGTTATCAATTAGGAGCAGTCTAATTTCCCCACGGACGTCTCCCCCTGTGGCCCCCAACCGTATTCATCTTTTATATTATTATTTTACTTTTTGTTATTATATATAATCAATAAACCGTCGTAATAAGCAACTTGTACATCACCCACTCTTACAATTCGAAACAGGATTAAATTAGCTTTCTGGATCAATATCTGCACTCAAATTTATATGTTAAATTACATTTTTCAGCATATCTGAAATTAAAAAAAAAACTTTCAAGAGTTCTTTCATGATCACATTTCTTGGGTAGACAACAAGAGCTGGATTCAATAAAAGGATTAATTTTGGATCTATTATACAATCCTTTGGCAGATTTGCTAACATAATCGAGGGAAAACCTGAAATGGAATAGACTAATGCAATGTTTCAGCAACATCACGGAAAAAGTGACTAAATTCGGCTGATTCGTCGCAAAAATAATGTGGAACGCTGACAGCAATTGAGCAAACCTGCTCCAATCAAAACTCATGTGAACACGTCAGCAGATCCCTTTGGTCATCATGCGAACAATGATCTATGGACTTTGTACTATCTATCTTAAAAACAATAACTGTCAAACTATGACAGTAATTTTTTGAACTGAAGCTATTGCTTATGGAATAAAAAGAATAGCTCAATCCGAGGGATTATTGTGATAACGATGGGATTGTCTCTAAATGTGGATCTTTCTCTCGATTAACTGCTCAAAAAAATATATCCTGTAGCTCGAAAAATTTGTGGCTGAATACCCGAGAATGCGAGAAATGTCTGAAGAATAAAAATATTGACAATTTATTTGTCAAAATTATTATGAAATAAATTTTGTTTCCGAATAATTTATTGCGTTTCAATGTGAAAAACTAATTCAGAAGATGATAACATTCAATGAATGTCAGGAAACAAAATGAAACAAAAATAAACAACAAGTACAGAGGTGATCGAAACATTTGCAAGAGAATATGTGAGATTTGGATAAATGATTAATTGGGTTTGGTTAAATGATTTGTAACAATTGGTTAAATGGTATGTAAAAATTGGTTATTGGATTTGATTACGAAATGTCTAACAAAATATACACGAAAAACAAAGTAACAAAAAAGAAAACATTTCTACAAAAAAAAAACAAAAATGGCGCGCAGAACTTGGATAACAGTGGCAAAAATGCTCAGAGAGATTTAAGGGCTTTCCTGAAAATTTCATTTAGTTATATTTAGACATTAAATCAAAATTACTTGGCTTTTCTTGCTTTTCTTGGCATCGTTTTTGTCAGTTTCATCAGAAACCGATTTTGACCTACGGCGAATTCTGGACGATGAAGCCGATTCAGTTGACGACGATGGATGAGCCCCATCGGACAAACCCGACTCAGCGATGAACGAAGGTGGACGAGCTCCATCACGCTGACTTTCTTGACTAGTGCTTTCGGTGGTTGGAGCAGAGCGTTCCTCAGTACTGGTCGTGGCACGATCACTAGCCTATAAAGCAGTCTTAATATAAAAACTATTAAAATAAATTACTGTGGTATTAGTGGCTGGAGGTGTCAGAAACTCCGAGCCAGTGAGGAACAATGACTCCAGGTATTCGGCCATATTTTCACTCATTTCGTGGATTTCCTCCATCGAGATTCCCCTCGCATTTTCCATCACAACGCGGAAATCCTTGTACACCTGAATCAGTAATCTGGAATTAAGTAACATAGAATTGGTTTCTCACCCCATTGCGGATAATTTCGAATTGTATTTCGACCGGCTCATCCCTGAAATAGAACAATGTATTTAACGAACATTTAAATAATTTTAAAATCTAACCTCGCACCGTTGTCGGCTTCTTCTGGTTGCCCACCGGCCTCGTTTTCCACTAGAGCATTTTGTTCGAAGTCGACAGCTTCTCGCACTGGACTTGGCTCTCGAATAGTTTGTGTAGAAGCATCGGCTTTATCTCTTGCCGATTCTACAGTGTTTGCTGGATCAGCCAGAAAGTTTTTCAAAAGGTTATCGATCTGATCCTGTAGTCTCTTGATTGCTTCCTCGCCCATTGTTGGAGAACTGGATGGAAAGTCTACAGTGACTCTTGCAACAGCCTGAATTAATAAATAAAACGTCATATCGAAAACGGATATTTTGATCGTACCTGCTCAGCTCCTTGTGTTCTCTCGACGATCAGCCGATTTGTTGGTCTGAATGTTGTAATTAATCTCCAAGTTTGACAAAGCACCAAAATTTTTTCAATTAATTTTACCTCTCTTGATTAGGGTTGGCTGATTGTGGTTGGATGTCGCATTGGATAGAAGAATCTACCGAAGTATTGATATGGTCGGTATTCATTTTGTGTTCTGAAATTTTGAACTTTTTATATAATATTCAAAAAGGTCATTTCTATTATTTCAATTTTCTCTCCTTGAGAGAGAAGAAAATGAAGACAAACGAGGACGACGATATTCGAAAAGAACGCGACGCGGCACGCGTGTTGCTAGAGTATGCTGGGTTGCCGGAGTACACTATAGCGTACTTCCAAGTGTTTCAAGTGTACAGAGAACAGTTGACTACACAGTAGTTGTTACGAAGACAATTTGAAAAAAAATTTCACAATAAAGAAGAAATGAAATTTTCAGATGTTTGTTTTTGTGTTAAATAGGGAAATTTCATTTACTTAGATCGGATAAATGACACTAAAATTAGTTAATACGGATTGGGATAAAAGATATATAATACGGTAAAACTCGTTCCAGCTGTGATTGCTCCCGACGCGAACAGCGCGCATTTCAAATGTTTAAATTAATATCAAATCATAATAAAAAAAAAACCCTTAAAAAATTTACCACTGAAAGGCAAACAGTTTATAATTAGAGATCAGTTATACTCAACTATTTGTACTATAAAAATTTCCCAATCCGATTCACTACAATTATAATTGTATTATGGAATTATAGGCAGTATCTGCCAAATACAATAAAATCCGAATTTTAAAGATTAAATTCGAAGCTTTGCCTCAAATTTATCCGAAATTCTCCGGATAATAACCAAACTAATTTATAATTACTATATAATGCGAGCATTGAAAGAAAGTAACTTTTTTTAGTTAAGACTGAAAAATTCATTACTATGAATATTTCAGTTCACTACTATGAATATTTCAGTTTGCCCCAAATATATCCGAAATTCTTCTGATAATAACCGTTTATTCAATTAGGATGCAAAAGCTGAAGGAGTAAATGTAAAAGCTTTGCCTTCAATTCATCCCAACTTTTTTTTAAATAATAAATTAATGGATTAGACAATAAAAAAAACCCTAAAAATGTTTTTTGCACGCTATTTAGTATACAAAAGCGAGGCTTGAATAAAACAATCTTTGACTTCCGTTCATTAGAATTGTTTTTTTTTTTCCAATAATAAAAAAAAGTATAAAATTCTAAAATCCCTTTAAAATTAATCTACGCAAAAAAAAAATATTGAAAAATATTCACCTTAGTTTTAAACATTTCAATTCGACATATGTCAATTATAATAATATTCGAATTTCAAGGAGTAAATTCAAAGCGTCGCCCCAAATTTATCCGAAATTCTTTTATCAATAACCAATTGTTTAATGATCAGAAAAGCGAGAATTAAACGACTTCCATTCATCCCAAATTTCAACAAACTTACCACTGAAAGAAAAAAAACAATTCATGACCAGAGAACAGTTACAATCGACCCTTTTTGTCATTGTAATCTGAATTCCCTCGCCATTGTTTTGTTTTTTTTTTTGAATTTCGAATATAAAGAGGATTAAATGTTCGAAATTCATTGTCCGCATGGGACATTTTAAATAAACAAAACAAAATTTAGAAAACACGTGATTAGAATAGTTGCTGGTATTTATTATAAAGCCTGGAAAATTTAGAAATCCCAAAATGCAAAATATGATCGTTTTCCCAACTATTTCGAATAATTGAACTTTCTCACTCGGCAAGGAGGCATAGGGAGATCAGCTGGGGCTGTCTACGACGCTATGCCATGCTCAGCCTATAACCGAGGTCCGTCTCACATTGGTCGAAGTAGTGAAAAAAGTTCACACATTTACATTTTCGGAGAAGCTAACTATCTAGAGAGAGAAAGAAAAACTGCTTTAATAATGATCTGGACTAAATATAAAAAAAACTAGAGGGCAACGGGGAAAGAGGAAGCATTACTCGTCTTGATTTTCTAGAGAGTGGACGACAATCTCAGCAAGATCTTCCATGAATTCTTCCTCAACAATATAATTGGGATAGTTTAAATAAAGAAGGTAAACCGAAAAATAAACAACTGATTCTCCCACCAGATGAATTTCTTCAACCCAAACGTCGTTAATGGCATTAATCATAAATGGTCTAGTGAGTTCGACGTTACGAGCACGAATGTCGAGAAGCATCGAGACACCATCGAAATCAAAAGTGGTACCGGCTGGAAAAATTATGACATCGAGGTCGATAATGAGAGAAAAGAAGAAGTAGGGTTTGGAAAGTAACGGATCGATGAGAACAGATTCTTCTTCTCCATTAAAAACAGAGTTTAAGAATTGCCGGACCTCATCAACATCAGCATTGACTCGCAAGCGGACGAAGTGCAAGTGAACCCTACGCTTCTCTGCTAGAGTCATTTCACGGTGGTTGACCGGTGGAGATGGAGATCTATCGGACATGTTCACAAAAGAATTGAATGGATTGCTGCAGATGGTAGCTAAAAATGCAACTGAATGAGATGTGGCAGCTTGGTGAGATATAAAAGTGGGCGGAGCTCAAGTGACAAAAGTAGGAGGAGTCAGTGTCACGCCCACAATTAGTTGCGATGACTACAGTAGCCCAAACTTGTCTGCCCCCTCCTTCCGGGACCCATTTTTTTTACACGTTGCAAAATGTTTCTGTTATTTAAATTTGTGGATTTTCGCATTTTCTATTTTGTCCATTGCAGAAAACTCCGTAAAATGTCCTCGTCTAACACAGGATCTTCAACGACCGAGTCTGCCAACAATCAATCATCATCCAAGGGCTCCTCTAGATCAGCAAATCTTTTGGTTGTTCAGCTGTCACAAGTAATTGAAGGAGAAGAGCAGGTAAAATAGTCAATTTTCCCATAATTACATAACCAAAAATTTTCAGATAGTTGCGAATCTAACTATCAATTTCCCATCCAACAAATCGGTGATTTCGAGGACTGGAGCCGATGTGTTGCGTAATCAGATCAATGACGTTGTGAAGAAATTCATTGTGGATCCTACAAATTTTATTGAACCGGTTATTTTTATTCTAATTTTTGTGATAATTTTAATTTGACTTTAGAAAGATAAAAAGGATGTTTCAACACAAACATTTCATGTCCCGACACCAATTACGGAAACTGCAGAAGCCGATGAGAACCAAGAGAGAATACAGTCGGCTACAGTTTCAAATGAGTTGAAGTAAGATGAAAAAAAAACCTTTTTTTAGACAAGTTTTTAATTCCAGCTTTGAGCCTCTCGTGGTGAAGTTTGAGATCTTTGCACCAAACGTAAGCAACTTGTCCGATTCTAAATTCAGTCAAATTAAAATATTTAGAAGCACGAAAATATTGATTATGTGATGCCCAACCTCGATGGGGTTTCAATGGACGACATCGACCTTATGCGTGAGGCAATGGCCAACGAACTCATCTCAATAATTGCATCTGCTCCTGAGAATTCGACGTCTTCAGCTACTGCTTCTTCGGTAATTTGTCTTTTCTTGTCTTTCATACATATGTTATAATATGTGCTATTCGATATTTAGAATTCCGTCGCTGTTTTGAGCTCGCCCAGTGACCACCATCAGTCATTTTCCAGTCCAGAAAATACCAAAAAAATCATGGAAACGGCAGAAATCGCTGTGAGTTTCTTTTTCCTGTCGAAATTATTTTTATCTGTTATGGTGTTAATTTTTTTTTGTGATGAAATAACCCAAACGTTTCAGTTGAATAGTACGATGGAAGTTAAAACATCAGACGTTCAAGGAGTCACGGACTCCCAATCCACTTCGTTTGACCCGACTGTCCCATCTACATCTAGTGGGATTACGGAAAACCGCCGAATTCGTCGTAAGTCGGACTTAATTGACGACAAAATTGAAGGAAATGATGCCAAGAAATACAAGAAGAACGAGGTGACTAAACTCTAACAGATACATAATTTCATTACTTCACTGTTTCTTTTTTTCTAATTTTATAATAATTCTGTTGTAGCCACTAGCAAACAAATGTTCTTGTTTGTTTTTTTGTTTCTTTCAAATTTTGTTATAGTTTTTTATCTAGCAAATTCTATCAAATATCCATTAATTCAGCTTTTCTCCAGTCATCAATTTAGTGTTTCACTGTATCTATCATTCGAGGCTCCCTCGAAATTTTTCATTATATGTTTATCCCAGAAATCCATTTTACGTCTACTTGATAAATTTCCATACAGGATATACTACTTTGATCTATTTTTCACTCATATACTTTATAAACACAATGGAAACAAATTAGTTTTTCTATTTAAACGGAAAATCCTTTCGTTTTTCATTCAGTGTTACCATTTCAAATTGGCAGAAAGCCAAATAACGATTTCTTGTTATTCCAAAGATTCATAAATATTTTTGTTTTTTTTTATTATTGGAAAAGCAGAAACACTGCCGACGATTTCAAGGCTCCTCCCAATACGATAGATGCCTGCATAACAGGTGTCAGCTTCATTCATTTTCGAAATAAGCAATATGAAGCTCTCCGTCGCTATTAGGGAAGTTTGAGTGGTTTTAGGGTTTTCAGAACCGCCAAAAATTTCTAGCTATGTTTCATCTCGATTGGACCACTATTAGCTGAAATTCATATGGCGTCGTCACAAACAATCAATAATTTTAGGTTTAAAAATGGTCTAGTTAAGGACACACACAAGGATCTTTCATCATTTTTCTTGCTCCTCGCAACATCTCCCCCGACAAAAGAAATTGGTGCATATTACAGATTTCTTGTTTTTTTTGTGACCACGCAAATCGGGTAGCCGAAAATTATCCTTAAGAAAATATTTAAAAAATTTTGACTAAAATTAAATAAAATTTGCTTAATAATTAAATAGAAATTCTTAATTCTGACTGAATACTAGAAGAAAAAACGATCACATTTCCTTCAAAACAAAATTTATTAGTTGCAACAACAGGAGACAAAAATCAAAATTAATACGCTCTAAGACGTACAAAGCAACATGATACAGTAATAAACCATTTTAAAAACTATTCAGAAGTCGATTGGTGGCTCGCGGCAAATTGTTCGAGTCGGCGATGGTGGCGGCATGAGCGTTTTGTAGTACTCGTATAACGGAGTCGGGATCTTCTGAAATATTGAGAATTGTCTTAAAAACGACTCGTGCTGTACTAACCTCCTCATCAAATCCATTCGCCACTGCTCTCAGGAATTCAAACGGATATGTCGAGCAGAGCTTTTTTTCGAAAAGGCATTGCTCGCAGAATGCATGCACTTCAAACGCGTTTTCTTTTTCGAATTCTTCGATATCCATTCGTGGCTTTCGATTTAGCAAAACTCCAAAATTCGCGATTTTATGATGCATCGCACATTCGGCGTTTTCATCGATAATGTCAATCATTGTCATGATATAATACTTGGCAAAAAATTCTTCGTTCTGAAATTTATGATCTTAAAATGTCGATTGAATGATATCGTGTATTTTGGCCAAAAAAGGATAATTGTTTTACAGAAATTCCAAACGAAGGTTTTCAGAATTTCCACAGATCATCTGTTTCGAAATATTCAACATTATTTGAACTAATTTGATAAAGATTTTTAAAATATGCAAAAACATACGGTAATGGGCAATTTTGGCGGCTCGCGAGGCTTTATTTCGTCTCCAGAAGGAGAATAAATAGTAGTGTCCTCACTGATTCTTGTTTTACGCAGTGAATACGCTTCACGTCGCAGCGACGTCAGTTGAAGATCGCTCCAGCCTGCAATGTCGAGTTAATGCCGAGTTTCCCAGTTGCGATGACTAACCATTCAATTTCTTTCCGGACAAATCCGTCCATACTTTCTGTAGAATTCTTTCATCGCGCTTCTGAAACGCATAAAAATCATGAAAATTCGAAAATTGTCAAAAACATACCGTTTTTATTGGTGTTAGGACGAACAAAAACTCTCGAAAATCCGGCGGAAGCCAGTCTTCTGGACGCGGGTCGTTTTCCTCGGTGCATCGGCGGCAAACGAATCGCATTCTCATCACTTTGGCGCGTTTGTGATTGATAACGATAGCTCCAAGAATAGGAAGATGATGTTTTCCACATGATAGTTGTGTTTCAACCGATGCCGCGGCATACAAATTCCAGGTGAAATACACAAAATCCTGAAAGTCGTCAATTATTAACTGCAAAAAACAATGTATTTACCTTTTCGGCTTCTTCCTCGCCAACTTTGGCAAAAAAGCGCTGAAATTAACAAATTTATGACAAAAACAGCTATTAAATAATCTTACACATGCGAGATGACGCTTGATTTGAGAGCGAGTGGGTGATGTAGAAAATACGCGATGAGAAGACATTGGCTCTGAAAATAAAATAAAAATAACAATGAGAACAGTGTAAACAAAATCAATCAATTGATGGAAACGATTCGATAGAAATATAATTGCAAAATCAAGATGAAAAAATTTTTTACGAAAAAAATGACAAAAACCGGAAAATTTTGTGAATCAAGGAGAAAATCGATTTTTAGCTGTTCAATTCTTTAGCTATGCTTCTCGGCATAACAAATATAATTAACGCTTCACATTCTCTATCGAATGGCAAAAAAATTGTAAAAAAAATGTGGAAATTTCGTTGATTTACGAATTTTTGAAATATTCTTGGAAAAATTAAGAGTAAAAATGAATTTTTGTTGCAATCGCTCATGGCTACAATGATTTAGGGACAATAAATTGATAGAACTCATTGATTTAAAAATTTTGATGAAAAAAAAAATTAAAAATTGTTGAAAATTGACCTAATGGCGAATTTTTTTAGCTTTTGGCCTAAAGCGGATTTTTAAAACTGATTTTTCGCAATGAAATTGACATCAGACAAGTTTGCCGTTAATTTATAAAAAGATCACAAAATTTTGAGTGGAATAGAAAAAAAACTATGAAAAACGATGAAGATTTCGAGGAGAAACGACGAAATTAAAAAAAATAGGTAAAAATCAAAGAAACCAAGTGATAGAGGCTTGAGCTCACTCTTAAAGGACGCTCTGGGTTCTTGTAGCGAAAATGCGGCAGAGCGGGAATTCAAAATTCAAAATCTGAAATATCAAAAATGGCCAAAATTTCAAAATGCTCCGATTTGCATGAAAATTGGAGGGATTATAGGGGGGCATGAGTGGAGACGATTTTTCGTGTTTTTGTGACTCACCGATCGTTGCAGGACCTGCTATGCGCCTTTAAATTTCCTATCTTAAAATGGTCTAAAATCGGTCAAAATGAAGCAATTTTGAAGCGGTTTTTTGCATTCTGGCTCAAATTTTGTCGAGAATTTGAAATTTAACACACCGATCAAAATTGTTATGTGGTATGGTAGAAAAAACTACAGTAATCCTACCGTATACCCAGATATATACAAAATTTGTGCTAAATCAATTAAAAATTCAGTTTTTTTGCCATGTTATTTATTATTTTTTTAATATGAAAAATTCAGGCATTATATAGAAGCATTCTTTGTGTTTAACAAGAAAATTGAAATTTTGATGGTCCGTCTCCAATTTTTCGATCAAAATAAAAGTAAAGTAGCATGTTGCGGTACTTAAACTGTTCGTAACAGTCTACTCCATCCAAAAAAATTCGTGCAAGTCGATTAAATACTTAAAACAAGCTTATTTCTAACAACAAATATATAAAGTAAAATTTTTGATGGTCCCATCTAATATTTCGATCGAAGTTGGGTATAAGATAAAAAATTATTGAATAAAAGAAAAAAAATAGTCAGAATTTGATGCTTTTTGAATAAAACTAATTTGATTGAAATTCACTGAAAAGCGAATTTCGACAAGAATTTTGATGTTGCGATTATTTTGTTAATAATCAGTTAACAAAATCGTTTTGAGTTATTTGTCGCTAATAACCACCATTATCCTTTCATTAATAAACGTCACCCACACACTTAGCACCAGACATCGGCGTTAACTTAATTAAGAAAAAATACAATATTGCCACGTAGCCCGTCCTTATAAAAAAAAGGGTGCATCAATGACCCACACTCACGTTTTTTTTATATTTTACCATTTATTTTTTGTTATACCTATTCTTTTCTCAATAAAAGTTTAATTACCCAAGTTTGAGATGTTAACTACTGGAACAACCAAAGTATTCTTATTAAAGACTTTTAATTATATGACAGATGCGGAAAATTCTTTACCATTTTGAGAATGGTTATTTCCATTTATAGCCCCCATGTTAACGGTTTTTCCAACATCAGCTAAGAATTTTGCCATTTAATAACGCAATTCTCAATATAGAGCAAAATGAGGGCCAAAAAGGCAAAACGTTCCTCAGTCATCCCCTATTTGATAAGCTTAACTTTTCTTTAGCATATTTCTATTGCATTTGTTCCGATTAAGCTGCCTACGCTATAAATAAAGAGTCTCAAAGCCTTAGAATCAGGAAAACATGACACTTAAAGCAATGTTCTCACACGCTCCAAATTATAGTGATCAGGCTCTTTGAATATTTCTGCTTCAGTTTCGTAGTTAATCCACCAGAACGAAAATCTGAATTTTTTTGGATCCAATAGTCATTATTGAATTTTATTTTGCTTTGTCCCCAATGAGGATTATTGATTGATTTTTTGTAGTATAATAAGAATAGAATAAAGACGAACCTCGACAAAATGAGTTTTTTCTCTTCAACTTGACCAGTCATTCCTTGGTGTCACTGAATAGTTCCATCAATATCCGTCAATGGAATTTTGTTCTTTTAGTTACTTGTCTCATTTTCGATTATATGAAGTTAACAATGGTAATGTCAACAAAGATCTGGAAAAAAATATATAGACAAAAATATTGCTCACCTATTTTCACCATGCTTCGAATATTTTTCAAAAAAGTATAAAAATTGGGTGGTGAGACTATTTTCCTGAAAACTATTAAAAATTGTGCAACTACGGCACATTTT